CAAATTTTCCAAAGATAATTCTCTGTATTGTTTTCTGTGTACTCAACCACGGCATCTCCGGAGATCGACGGCTCGGATTCAATTCAGTGGAAATTGCAAACGCGAAACAAACAAAACCAGCCATGGAATCAGTGAACCAACAGAAAGTATAAAAATTTATATATATATATATATATATATATATGTATATATAAAAATAAAATAAAATAAAATAAAATAAGATACCCAAACCCAAACAACAACCACTTCGACAAGAGCAAATGACGCAAATTGCGAACAACCGAGATACGACTCCAAAGGGCCTACGGTCTGAGATTGGAAGTTGGATTGGAAGTGAAGCCTGGAAGCTGGAAGCTTGGAGAGTTGGGGAAATGAGAAGCTGTGGAGCTGGAAGCTGGAAGAGCCAAGGAGCTCATACCGCTTCTTGAATTAGCAGCACTGGGAAACTTATTTTGGGCCAAGATACCCTTGATAACAAATCAAATAATAATGATATAATAATAATAAAAGATCATTAATAGAATATGATATAATATTTTTTAACAATCTAAAGTTTAAATACTTAGATAATTGCACAATTTGTTTTAAGATAAGTATTTGATAATATTATTATCTACTCAGATGCATGCGACAATCCATTTGTGGCGTCATTTCACCAGCATCGATCACTCAATGCCATAATTGACTTAAATTACCGATTATTTCGATAGGCGACAGCGACACTAAAATTTAGTAGATAAAGAAACCGATATATGATGACATCAGTTGGGGTTTTATAAAACTGATAGGTTAACTAGATATTTCTGGTATGTAGAAATACTATTCACTTTTGGATCATAAAGATTTAAAAATATCAATGCTTTCAATAGCAAGATTTATAAAGTGTAGCAGATATAGTATATATATTCTTCCTATAAATTAAATTTGATACCATTTACCACAATCGATCAGTCCCAAGCTTGTCTAGGGTAACCCAAGCTGGCCTTTAATTCCTATGAGTATTTTATTTGTGGCTTTTGAGTGGCAATGCGAATGCAAGTAGGAAGGGAAAACTTGTGGCAATATAATTTACTTGCGACGATCTTCGCCTGCTGACGTCAACGGAAGTGTTCGCTTTCACGAAGGTCAACGGATTGTCCCAAGAAGTGCTCCCAGTTCCTGTCTTACGGAGGGGTTAAGCAGCTAAATCGATTTCTCACACAATTAGTGGGCGTCATAATACCCAATCCCATTCCCAATCCCAATCCCAATCCCATACCCATAACCATTTCGATTTCAATTCCTCTGACGAATCCCCCTGAATGCCAGTCAGCGTTGCGATGTGTTGATTAGATATGACGCTGGGAATGGGTCTGGAACTGGCACTGGGACGGGCTGATCGGACTGTGACGGATGTGCACGACCCACGGAGGCCATAAAGGCTATTAAAAAGAACAAAAAACAATAGTATTTATATGTGTGTCTATAAAAAATAGCACCACACGTTTCAATCATAATGGTAAATGCTGTCGGAAGGCAGGAAAAGATCAGCTATGCTTTTGCAATGACAAGTGATATCGATATCAATGGAAAACACTAGATCCCCAGAGATCTTACTACCCAAAAGGAGTAGAAAAATCTACAAGGAAACCAAGGAAATTGTATTTTCCACCCAGTAAATAAAACTGAGTTCAAAGTGCAGTCAATAATGTAAATCTTATCTATTTTAAAAATTAATTTCAAGTACCATAAATATTATATTATTTATATAAAAGTAAATGTACCCCCATTTACGTATGAATCATGTTTATATTGACATCATTACGTATTTAATTCTATTTGCACATGTGAAGACAATAACTTGTTGGGCTTGTATTGAGAAAAGTAAGTAAATAAATAAAAAACGGCCCAATTGTAATTTGTATACATATATCTTTAAATTTATTCATGCTCCAATCTGCGTCATATTTCCTGTTTATTATGGTATAATTTGTATCAATATCTTTTAGGTCATAAAAAACCATAGAAGATATTCAAGAGCATCTGTGGCTGTGACTTGAATCTTCTGCCCTCGCTCTGAGCTGAGCTGAGCTGAGCTGAGCTGATATTATTAATGATCATGACTCGGACTGGGATCGTAAACAAAGGCCCTCCAGTGACGTCAAATGGCGATTTGTCGGCGACTTTGGGGCACCCACACACACTACACACACACAACAAAAAAACGACTAACGACGACGGCACTGGAGGCTTTATCTGAAAGCAAGCAAAAAGGCATTCACTAACTATTCCTATGAAGCCCACGCCGCAGTGTCCGGACTGTGGAGTGCCCACCAAAATGTATAAAACAATAACAGCCAAGCAGCAGATCCCACAGAGGGAGAGAGAGTCATGGAACCCAGTTCCCAGTTCCCAGTTCCCAGTATCCAATCCCAGTACCGAAATGGAATGCAAAGAACAACTAAACACAAGCTTCTCTCAGCGCTCCCTTGTCGCCGTAATGACAACCATGATAAGGCCCGGTGACAGGCCGGGTGAGTAGGATACCAGGAAACGGGGGTCCCGAGAATGTCAAACACACTGGAGAGGCGATATCGGGGCGAAAATTTACAAACATCCAACGGATCCAACAGATGCCAGTGTTCCGAGAGATGGGAGCATCATCATGTGGGACTCTGGGCGAGATAATGATATATAGTCAAGGTAGATAATTCCCTGACTTGTTATGACTGAAGGAAGCAGCTTTAAAAAATTAACCTTTCTTTGAAAAATAATAATATTTAATAAAAAAAATAAAGAAATTTGGTAAAGGTAAAGTTAGTCCAGGTTTTTCTAGATATTTCTAGGGTTCTTAAAACTCTTGAAAATGTATCAAAGAATAAAACTTTTAAGGCACCACTTTAGTCTACAGTATTAAAAAAACCATTCAAAATCAAAGCTAAATTTGTTTAATTTATAGCTTAATTTTTGACAAATTTTTAAAGAGTTTTAAAAACACTAATGATTTCTATAATACACCCATTTTAAACCTCACTGCAAATTAAACTTCATAGGTTCCTAAGAAAAACTTTAAAAGTTTTCATCTTTAAATATATTTATAGTTATTTTTAGAGCCCATAAAAGTTAAAAATATTATTAAGATATAAATATACCAGACTTTCCAGATATATTTTAAAAATGCCAGTATTATTTATAGTAAATAACCCTAAGAATAGCTTCCTTTTAAAGTATAATACAAAACACTTGTTCCACAGCGATTTCAATAGCTTTTAAAGAAAATAAACCCCAAATTTCCAACTAAAAATCCCCAAAATAAGCTTAAAACTTGAGATAGAATTAAAAGCTAAAATAGATTTCAAGAAAACTACAATTTCACTGGAATACAAAACCATTCCATTTGAGATATGAGAGCTACAATGCTGACATGTAAGGCGTAATTAAATGTGAAATATTGTATGTGGCTATGTGACTATGTTTATCATGAGCAGAAGGTTTCGCCATCTGAGACTGTTTGTCAACAGAGCTCTGGGGTTCTGGTAAACACGATTTCCCGTGATATATATAAAAGTATATATACTTGTGGAGTAACCCCCTCGAGAACATGCTCGGAGATGGTAATGGGAACGGTGACGTATACGTAATATCACTCATACGCCAAGTAAGAGGTAAACGTTATACAATAGACTTGGTTTTTGGATCGGGATAATCATAGATATATATATATGTATATATATTTAGCACACGCTGCCCTCGTGAACTGAATAAGAAGAGTAAAGGCAGCGGGGATACCTCTGATTATTACTTTTGTTGTATGTGCGGGCATATATAGTACCATATAGCCAGAGATAAACCCCGCTTGATAAGCGCATAACATTATTAACCAAACACAGACACAACAGCCCACAGATAAAGGCTCATATCTCTTGCATGTATGTATATATATATATGGTATATATAGGGGGACATATCCAGGGGGATTGCTTTATTATTATCATCATCATGGTTAGGTGTTATCATAACTCCGAATATTCGGTTTCTAATACTTTTATTTGCTTTACAGACTTGACTTGTTTTTTTTTTGGCCTTGCTGCTCTACAAAAAAGATGTCATCATGGTATAATATATATATATAAAGTTAGAGTAAATATGTGCGGGCTTAATATGTACATAATATATTTATCTATATAATACACAGTATACAGTATAAACTAAGATAAGCTGTGCCAGTTCTTGATAAAAAAAAATAACTGGAGCCCAAGTTTTTCCTGCTCGCTTTTTAGTTTATTTTTTTTTTTATCAATAGGCACCCCCTAATTTTCAACAACATCGTCCATATCGTTTCCATTCACGCGAAACACACAAAAAAAATAATAATAATAACAACAGCAAAAGGGAACAAAAACAAAGACTTCTCCGCGCAGGCAGAACCTCATTTTTGTGATAAGATAAAAATCAAATTAATTAACAGCCTTTTAAGCTAACACACACACTCACACACACACTCTTAGTACACACGCACATACACGCTGGGAAAAAACGTCAGCCAAAGTTGGCAAATAATAAAATGGAAAATCTTAAAGTAAAGACCTCAAAATATGATCTCTGTCTGTTGATTTGAATATATAAAGTCCTAAAATCCACCTTTAAAACAAGATGGAGTTGACTTTTAATTAAGATAATGTTTGATATTACTCTTCAGATCTTTCAATTATATAGAAACTCTTCTCTGATGATATAATTTTGCCTTGCTGTGACTTTCCTAATGTAATTTTTAGCTTGTTTAAAAAAAATCTATAGCTTTTTTATCAACTAAGCTGGCTCTTTTTTTCCTGTGTGTATATAAGCACCAATTTGCACCGAAAAAAAAATGTTTAGGGTAAAATATGAAATGTCCTTGTCGGATAAGGATCACCTGCTACTCCTCCTCTCCTCTTGCTTTTCTTTTTTTTTTTGTTTTTGTTTGTTTGTGTTTAGTCTAGTTTGAGATTTCCCTGGTTTGTGACGTCATCGCGGGCGCCTACCTTCTTGGAGCGTTCCCTCAACTGGCGGTCGCCCAGCTGCGTGGCCGCCAAAAGTTCACTGAGCTGACGCTCTCGCTCCCGTTCACGTTCACGTTCACGTTCCCGCTCCCGCTCCCGATTGCGATCCCCCCGCTCGTACTCCTCCTGCTCCTGCTCCTGCTCCAGCTGCAGCTGCAGCTCCTCCTCCTCCTCCTCCTCGTCATCATCATCCTCCTCCTCGCCACTGAGGCTGCTGCTCTGGGTGCTGCTCTTCCTGGCCAAAGCCACGCGTACACCATTCACAATGCACTCGCCCCCATCCAGGGCGGATATGGTGGAGCCGCAGTAGTACAAGTTGCTGCAACTGCTCGCGGCACTGACATCCGACTGGCCTTCGTCCTTGGCGCATCCGGGCGACATTCCGCCCGCTCCCGATCCCGTACCGCCCGATCCATGGCCATGGCCGTGTCCCGCTTCCAGGGAGCAGCGACGCTGACAACGCGCCCGCTGCAGGCGAAAGTACTCCATCTCCTCCATGCTGATGCCGCAGGCAGTGATATCATCCGAGTAATCGCTGACCACCACCGACGGTGTGCGGACATAGCGCACGCCCAGGGGGAAGCCACTGCTGCCCAGTTCGCTGTAGGAGCTCTGGGTGGATTCGCGTCGTGAACCCGGTGCGGCAACCACTCGTTCCTCCAGCAGCACCTTGGTGGGCACACTGATGCCACCAATGGCGGCACCAACTGCGGCCGTACTGCCGGTGGGCGAAGTGAGCGGCGAATCTGGCAGTGCGGTGGGCTCAGCCAGTGGCAGGAGGGCCGGTCGTAGCGGTAAATCTGTCACGGTCAGCGTCATCCTTCGCTGTGGCGGCATACTGGGCGGACACACATCCATGCTGGCGTCGTCCACCTCCAGGCCGAGGGCAGAATCACTGCTGGCACAGCGTGTAACCTTGAGCTTTCGCTGGCGAGGCGATAGCTTGCCGGAGGAACTGGTGGTCACATCCTCGCCATCGCTGCTATAGGGGCTCAGGCCGCTTCCGGTTACATTGTAGCCCTCATCCGAGTTGGAGGCAATGCCTCCCTGAGCAGATTTCGGTTCGCTTAGCATCTGTTGCTGCTGCTGCTGCTGCTGCCGCTGCTCCTGTTGCTGCTGCTGCTGCTGTTGGACAATCATGGCTTGGTAGTGATCAATCAACTGTTGCACCGGCTTCCTGGCCTCCGTTCTGGCACTGATATGTCGGTAACTCTTAATGGGTTCCTGCTGGATATCCGCTCTTTCTGGCTGCTTGGTGCCAAAAAAGGCCGCCTTCAGTTGTGCCTTGCGAAGGGCCAAATTGCTGGAGAGCTTTTCACATGGATTATCACCAGTTGTTGTTGGTGGCGCTATCGGCTCCGATATCGATATGGGTTGGCGAATTAATATGGAGGTAGATGGTAACGGTAACGCTATCGTCTCGTCTATTCCAGTTTCCAGGGACGGCCTTGTGGGTGCTATAGCTCCAATCTGCTTCGCTGCTCTCTGATAACTGAAAGCCGCTGCCTCTGCCGCCGGCCATTTATTTTCAATTTTAACCGTTGTCGCTGCCCGCACCAGCGCCAGCGGCGTTTCTGTCTCGGTCTCTGTCGCTGTCGCTGTCGCCGCGGGCGTCGCTGTCGTTATCTTTGGCATGACATCGAATTGGAAAGCGGGGGCGGCAGACGTTCGCGAAACTAACGGTTCCGTTCCCGGAGCTTCGCACGCACTCATCTCACATGGGATGTGGTCTGGTTACAAGGAGTGTGAAAGAGTATGGAAATTGGAATGTAGTGGAATGAACATACGATGGGGATACGGGAATGGCTGCAAATGTGATAATGGAAAGCGAATTGTGCCTGATCGTGGAAGGGGGGGATAGGTTTAAGTGTTACGGATGGTATGGCTGGATATGGTTATGGATATGGATATGAAAACGCCGGCAAACATTCTACGTCCGCACTTTCCGAATGGCACCTGTGCGCTGCCGTCGTTGAACTGAAATCGCTTTCTGCGGCTCTGCAGCTCTGCCCGTTTCGTTGGAGAGACACGGCCGGGGGGGGAGGCGGAGAGTGGGAGGAGCAGACGGTGACGGGGGAGGTGGGTGGAGGGAGGAGCACAGCCAGAGCCAGAGCCAGAGCAGCTGTTGCGGGCGTACACTGTTGATAGTTTTTATTTTTTTTTTTCTTTTTTAAGTTGGTTGCGCCGTTTTCGTAATTTACAGGCGCTGCTGTTGCTACTGTAGCGGTAGCTGCGGGGTAATTGTTGTTGCTGCTGCTGCTGCTGTTGTTGTGATCTTGAAACGTTGACGCAATGTGCAATGATCCCGCACGTACACACGCACACAGACGCGGTCAACCGCCATTTACACGTAAGTGCTCCAATTGCTGCCCGTATGCTCGTATTTTTTAAACTGAGCGCGTAATTGTAAATTGCATTTGAGCACAGAACTTACACACACACACACATAGAAGCGGTGGCAAAGCAGACGCACGCACGCACACCAGCACACACAATGACAGACTGACAGGCGATGCATGATGCAAAGTGCACACAGCTACACACACACACCGATTGACGCACAATGGGACATCTGAGTAATTTATTATTAAAAAAATGGGGGAGAGCAACTATTTTTAGCTCTAGATTCACACCTCAGCTATGCCCATTAAAAAGAAAATTAACTACACTGTCTAACTGGGGAAAAAGCTTGTAAAATAAATTTAGAATTAATATTCCCAAAAAAAAAATAACACTAAATTTAAAAACAAACATTCCCGCCTGCACTTTAATCAACAACTACTTTTTAAATGACCAAGTACTTATCGCACTCAAGCAATCTGACGTCAAAAGCTGATTGTACCAACAGAAATTACAATGCAATTAAATAAATGTTTACGACTTACATTATATGTACTTATTTTTACGATAAGTAATTAATTTGTATACAGAGAGGGTATAACATTTTTTTTAAAAGCCTACAAATAATTTAAGAATTTATTGTAATTAGCATTTAAGTCTTTCAAAATATATATAGTAGAAAGGAATTATATAAAATTCTACTTATATATCAACTCTTTAGATAATACTGTCTTTTTTTAGTTTACCATTAAACGCAACTGCCCCAACGACCCATTCATTGACATACCCATATCGATGTATTATCTAGACGGGTTCTGGTATGCCCGGAATCTATGATAGCACGTGATTCATGAGTTGCGAAATCCCCGTAATCGCTCCACGGTGCCCGACAGTCGCACGATGCTAATGGTGATTGGATGATGATTATTATAATGATGCTGACAATGACGATGATGGTGACCACGGTGCGGCATCGCACTTTGTCCAACGCCACGGGGCCATGACGTCAGTGGAGGCGGTGAACAACGCAGACGCAACAGCTCCCCAGCTTCGAGCATCGAGACAGTCGGATGGAGCAGACGGACATGGGTGGGAGGGGGTAGGACGGGGGTGGGCTACCAGCCGGAGTAGACAAGGGCGCGGTGTGATTACTCAACTCCGAGACCAGGCCCCGGTACCGCTGTCCCCCACGTCGTATGCGTTATATGTATAAATAACAAGGGGCAATTAAAAAGTGCGATTTTTATTGTTTTATGTGATTTTTTTCATTTTCATTCTGTCCGTTGGCTTTTTTGTTTCTTGTTTTTTGTTGTATATGTACATGAGTATATATGTTTTTGTGTTGACTGACTGGCAAGACGCACGGACGCTAGTCACTGACGCTGCTGACGTTGATTGGGCGTCCATCCATCCGCCAGAATGACGTGGTACCAGCTTAAAGTAAGCCCACCCCCGGCCATGCCGCCCCCTCCCCTGGGCTAGTTGTGAAATCAAAACCACTTTAGGTTTACACACCTGCGATCGAGATCGATATACGGCCAAGTTTCGCGCTCAGGCAATTACGTCAATGCATTTGACGAAACGGAGAAGTCCGATTAAACAGAAACAAAAATAGGCAAAAAATACAGAGAGATAGAGAGAACAGAAAAAAAATCTTAAAAAATTAAATAGTGAAGGATGTGGCCAGTTGCATTCGCGCACTCGCACACTCTTTCCCTCCCGCTCCACCGGCGGCAGCTTCGGTTAACGCTTCTGCCCCAGTGACCGAAATCGGCGTTGAAGCTTTGAAAAGCTCTACACAAACTCACTCAGACAGCAGCCCAGTCTTTTTTCCGGCAAATCAAGCGTTTTTAGGCCGTTCTGACGTTTTCTTAACTGATTTAAGACAAAAGGTATTTAGCCTTGCAGGGTATTATTATTTCAGTCAGAAGCTTGTAACGCTAGAAGGAGGCATTTCCGACCCTATAAAGCATATATATTCTTGATCAGCATTAACAGGCGAATCTTTCTAGCCATCTCCGGTAGAGAAAAAAATTTGTTCAATTTTTTCCAAATTTTATAAGGGGTTACATCGTTAAAATGTTCAAAAATCGACAAAAACTTTAATTTTTTATCATTTTAAATAAAGTATGCAGATTTGTTAACCTGATAAAAACGAACATAGGAACGCTTTCCGAATTGAAATTGATGCTTTTTTGGCTGAGTTATGAGTTTTTGAAATTTTGATTTTATCATAAAAATTGTCATATAAAATATAAATAAATATTGATTCAAAGAATGCGAATATTTTTAGCTTAGTTATGATCGATTTCCGATTCAATCCTATAATTTAATTGCAAAATGCAAGGGTATATAAGCTTTATATTTTATTTCCGAAATTTTTATTTCGAATAATTACGTATACGTAATTACGTATACGTAATATGTAGTCAGCAATTTATAGTCAGAAGCTTCTAATGCTGTAAAGGAGTCATTTTCGGCCCTATAAATCATATATATTCTTGATCAGGATTAACAGACGAATCTTTCTAGCTATCTCCGGCAGTAAAAAAAATTTTTTTTTAACGTTTTCCAAATTTTATAAGAGGTTGATTGTCAAAAATTGGCGATTTGAGTATGCAGATTTGTTAACCTATTAAAAACTAGCAATGAACCGTTTTCCGAATTGAAATTCATGCATTTTTGGCTTAGTTATGAGTTTTTTAAATTTTGTTTTGTCGAGAAAATTGTTATATAAAAATGTTGATAATTATGAATTCAAAGAGCGAATATTTTTAGCTTAGTTATTATCGATTTCCGATTCAATCCTATAATTAATTTGCAAAATGCAAGGGTATATAAGCTTTGACGTGCCGAAGTTAGCTTCTTTTCTGTATTATATTTTATTTCAGGCATTTTTAGCTAGAATAATTACGTATACGTAATATATACTCAGCAATTTATAGTGAAGGAGTCATTTCCGACCCTATAAATCATATATATTCTTGATCAGCATCAACAGGCGAATTTGTCTACGTATAAAAGGAAGAAAAAAATTTTTTGTCAATTTCTTCCAAATTTTATAAGGGGTTACATCGTTAAAATTTTGTAAAATGGGCAAAAAATTTAAACCTTTTAAAATTCTAAATTTAGTATGCAGATTTATTAACCTTATAAAAACTATCATAAGACAGCTTTTTGAAATACAATTAATTCGTTTTTGGCTGAGTTATGAGTTTTTTAGATTTTGATTTGTCGAAAAAAATGTTCATATAAAATATCCACAAACATCGAGTAACAAAATGGGAATATTATAAGCCTACTTACAACCGATTTCCTATTCGATCCTATAATTAATTTGCAAACTGCAAGGGCATATAAACTTCGGTATTCCTTCCTTGTTGTAAGATTATGTATGTATAAAGCTTTGTAGAGACTCTTTGAACAAAGAATATTTAGTTTAATTTATCGGAAATTCTTCCTTCTCTGCTTTACAAAAGGTGTAAGATCACAAGCAAGACCATTAAAAAATTGTCCCCAATATTACTCATTCGGCACGTAGGCCGTTGAACATATTACAAAACACAAAAGGCAACATGACGTATGAGTTATATGGCCCGAAAGCGGAAGACGGAAAACGGAATTTAAAGGCTAGAGAAAGTTATAAGTGCACTTTTGAAAGGTCTCTAACCTTAAAAATATGCTATATTATCAGTATCTTATATTATGATGATTATTTACCACAAGTAAATGCATGGTATGGTAATTAAAACAACAAAATAAAATTATAATAACACAATACAAGACTCTGGGATTTTGTCAATATTTATTTCACGCTAAATTTATCTATTTGCAGCTTTAGCTTTTTTTCTCGCCTAAAACAAAGCTTGCCAGCACTGTCGTTTAAGTCAAGCTTACACACAACAAGAGCTAGAGGGAGTGATGCAGGGGTGGGGTAGAGCGAAGAGTGAAGAAAAGGTGCTGGCCCAGCCATAAACTTTGCACATTTTGCTTTTCAGCTATCCATTTTTTTTATATGGCCATAATCGTACACACACACACGCACACACGCACATACACACAGAACATTTGGTTTTCCGAAAATGGTCAAAACGGGCCGATTGACGTGCGCATTCGCACACGCGTGAATTGTGTGCCGTTTTACTGTTCTTTCGATCGTTCTATGGCCATCTCATTCACTCCAACAGCCTGACATTGATATGCCATCGTGTTCGCATTGCAGGTGCGTCTCTGTGCCCGTGGCTGTGTCTGTCTGTGTGTGGTGGCTGCTGGGGGTGGAGGTGTGGGGTGGTGGGGAATAAGGGGGCACTGTAAGTGGATGGGATTTCGGTACGGATTTGACGGCTCTGGTGAATTGGTGGCTCTGTTAGTTAAGTGCTGGCTCATGCTAATTACATTTGCTTTCGGCTCTCGGTTGCTAGCTCGTGCGCCCCGGCGCTGTTTGTAACGGTCGGCGCGAGAGGCGGCGACAACACGGCGCAGGCGTTGCACACTGACTGAAATTCGAAATTCGGAATTCGGACACCGGCGACTCCCCGGGGCCAGGAGGCTTGGCTTCGCCCCACCTGTCGCGGCAGCCGCTGATAATCTGCTCAGCACTGTTGATTACAAATTCAGCGCTCGTTTCGAAGCTCCCGAACCCCTCTAAGCCTCCCTCTCACATCACCCAGCTTGAGGTGGTAGCCTGTTCCCAAGTGAAACGAACCTTTAATACCTGTTGTTGTAGGAAAATCCTAATCCAAAAACTTGAGGAATGCAACACTAACATTCAAGGACATTCGTTTCTAAAACATTAAGCACAATTTTAAATTTAGTTACGTTTTTTAAAGTAGAGTTATGTTAACTAATTAATCTGTCTGAAAATATTAACTGCACCATCAGAAAGCATAGTTTTAAACTACATACCAAGGCGCTCAGCTTGCAGTTCACAAAATACAGTCAATAAAAGGTCTAGATTTAATATTTCGTTAAAAAATTAATTAAATATTTATAAACAAATTATTCTTTTACTTTATTTGCATAAAACACAACTTGGAAACTATTTTATCTCAGCATAAGTGTAGTCAAAAATTACATACTATACATTGGCTTACAACTCATTTAATGCTGAGGTACAAGAACCGATTGGTTTAGCGCATTAACTATATTTGATATTGAACAAATGTTAGTATAAATATATACCGATTTCTTATTCCTTAAAAATGTTCTTTAAATAACACCTAATACAAAATAAATTTGAAATAATTGATTTTTTCTATGTCACAGCTAATTAAATTCAATGTTATAGGTTTAAACATTTTAGTTGTAATTAAAGGATTAAGGGTATTTAACAATTACTTTTATCATTTTGTTTTTCACCATCATTTAATTGAATTTCTAGGTATTTAAACGTTGGTTTAATATAGTTTGCAATTATGCGTCTCTATTTATATTTCTTCTATTGGGTATAGAGCTCTCTTTTGTATTGTTTGTATTTGTTGGGAGTCCACGAAAGTTCTTGTCTTAAATGATTCTGTGACACGGAAAAAACAAACTGTCGCAATTTCTTTAGTTTTAAATGTTAGCTAATAAAATGAAAAAAGCAACCAAGGAACCCTATATATGAAAACACTAATTTTAAAACGGCTTTAACATTTATATCTCCTCTAGTTTATACGCTAAACAGCTTTGAAGTAAATTGTAACTCTGCTTTCAATGAGCCATGAGCCACTGTAGCCTTGTTGCCGTCTGTTTGCGTCGGGGTGTCAGAGTGTGTGATTGTGTCTAGATTTGTGAATCATGTCGTGGGCTCGGGAAGTGTTTAACCTGAGTAAGAGGCTGGGCACATGTCCGCCGCCTCCAAAGTGTAGCGTAGTTTTTCAATAAAAAAAATGTATAATGGTAGTGTGAAACAATGTCAGTTAGGAGCAGCACAACTGTAGCCAAGAGTCATTGGTTGGTTGGCAAGACGCAGGATCGACTATCTTCACCGGTGGCGTCGCTCCCGGTCGTCGTAGTGGCGGCTTTTACTACTGCGTTCATAGCCACCGCCATCTCGCTTGTGCTCGTACCGCTCCGAACGGTGGCGGCTTCGACTGCGGCTTCTGGTCCGGCTGCGCGAATGTTGTCTGTGCTTGTGCTTCTTCTTGTGCTTGCTGCGATGGCGGTCGAAGTCGTTATCCCGTTCCCTTCCTCTTTCTCGGTCGCCGCCACCGCCATATGGGATTTGTTGCGGCGGCGGCGCCGGTGGGTAATCATCGTAGCCACCTCGTCCGCGGCCATAGGAGGAGCCTGAGGCGGGTGCGTAGTAGGCACGATCATCATGATCATTGCGATAATTCATCGGTGGTGGGTAGGCGCCGGCTCTTGAGCCCGAGCCCGCCATAGCGTGCCCTCCGCCACGACCACTGCCACCTCCACGATCAAAGGAGCCTCCTCCTCCGCCCTCGTACTCCTGGTAATCTCCTTCCTGGCCATCTCCGGCTCCAGTACCACTGCCAGCGCCCGGACCTGTCGCTGAACGTCCCGAGCTTAATTGATTGATGGTGATGCCCTGCTCCCTGCAGTATTGCTCAATCTTCTTCTCGATCTGTTTCTGGATGGGCACGGGGATACGTGGAAAGAGCGTGGAGAACCAGTCCAGCTTGGTCATAAACTGGTACACCATTTGGCCGATGGTAAGAACCTGAAAGTGGCTCAGTTAGTTACCAATATTCGCTTAACAAAGGGTTGCTGGGTACGTGTGATTGGTGGCTCATACAGTTGACTCACCTGGCCGCCGCCCGCCTTCACGTCGATCTCCTCCTCGTCCTGCAGATAGTCCTCATACCAATCGTATAAATCACCAGGCGGCTGAGTATATCGCAAGTACATGAATCCTGGGATAAAGCAATGAAAAGCAAGACGACACATTTTGTTGCAGTTAACACTGATTAAATGATTTGGGCTTGGGGAAAGTGATGTATTTGTGAGCGTGAGAATGCTTTGGGTGCATGTGACAGGGAGGCTAGATTGGGAATCATTTTATTTTCCTGACGGAAATAGAATCGCTCTCGACATACAAGTAGCACTTGGTTAACCCTTGTAGGCAGATGTGAATAGGATGCCTCTGGTCTCTACCTTTTTGCAAATAAAGAGGACAAGACGCAACTTTATCTTGGTCTCAAAAGAAACCAGATTGCTGTCTTTTTGCAGAACATGCCTATTTTTTCCACCACTTAGATATAGTGTCTTTCGACCCACCCTGGTTCACATATTTGTTCTTTAGTGGGATGGGGGGATGGATTGTGATGTGATGAAGGAGCAGGAGCAAGCGACGGCATGTGACGGCTGCACTCATGCGACTTACCAACACCTACCTAGTGCCCGGATGTAGGCCGAGTCTGTGTGGTTGAGCAGTCCGTTGATCTGCTTCCGGGTCAGCCGGAGCGTGTACAGCTTGTAGAGCAGGCAGTACGCCGTGGACACGATACCGCCGGCGCCGACGCCTCGCACCTGGAAAGGACAGTCAAGATTAGTACATTTCGTTGTCCTCCATTTGCCACGCAGAGCATCGCCAACGATTAGCGCTACATTTCATAAACCACTCACACCGCCGCACATGCCCGTCTGGCCGGAGGTCTTACGGGATCCGCGCTCCCAAGGCTCCATGTGCTTCACCTGGTAGTAGATCTCGTCGACCACTTCATGATAGGTTTTCAGCTTAAACAAGTGAACTGTAGCGTCCCGAGAAAGAAATGCAATCAGATTGTGAAATAGCCGGGCACGTTGTGGGATACCTACCCTTAAAGTAGCTGGAGCTCTGGATGTTGGCCAATATTAGCGGATTCAGGTTCATCGAGGTCTCGTTGCCCCAGAAGGGCAGCGTGTTGTGTTGCTTGCCCGCGCCGGCCTTCTTGCCGCCACCACCGCCGCCGCCGCCGGCCGAAGAAGACGCTGAATACTCTGCGTCCGCAAGAATGCAAGAGGGAGGAAGCGAGACGCCACCGTGAATGAACGGATCTTGGGGACACGGCCGCATTGCACACTTACCTTCGTCCATACCTACTGCTGCTGCTCCACACTTGCGGGCATTAATTCCACAGCTGCTGTCGGTTTAAGCGCGCGAAAGTGGCTCAGAAGTTACAATTTACGAGCGAGAAAATGTCAAAATTGGCGATGTGTATGCATTGATTATGGTTGCGGCTATCGTTATCGCACCGGTCTATCGATATCGTTAGTGGTGGCTACTTTTACGTTTCTCGTCGTGACAGTCGTGAGAGTCATCTTTTATATATTATTTTATACAATTTTTTTAGTATCCTTGTAAAATTATTCAATTACACCTAAAATCAATTTAACAGTGGTTTATATATTATATAACCGATTATGTCCCAATTGATGTTATATTAATTTAAATAATATATTTTTTATAACCGATTCTGTCCCAACTGATGTTACATTATATTAAATAATATATTTTTTAGTCGTCCAACACTACTGCACATGTTATTAGCTTCCAACAGAATATCCAAATAAATTAAAAAAAAAAATACTATTAAATTGTGACCAAAATAAGATTAAAAATATAAATATCGCACCGATCTATCGATATCGTTAGTGATGGCTACTTTTACGTTTCTCGTCGTGACAGTCGTGAGAGTCACATTTTGTATATTATTTTAATTAATTTTTTTAGTATCCTTGTAAATTAATTCAACTACACTTAAAATTAATTTAACAGTGGTTTATATATTATATAACCGATTCTGTCCCAATTGATGTTATATTATTTTAAATAAAATATTTTTTAATCGTCCAACACTACTGCACATGTTATTAGCTCCCATCAGAATATACAAATAAATTTAAAAACATATATACTATTAAATTGTCACCAAAATAACATAAAAAATATAAATATCGCACCGATCTATCGATATCGTTAGTGATGGCTACTTTTACGTTTCTCGTCGTGACAGTCGTGAGAGTCACATTTTGTATATTATTTTAATGAATTTTTTGTGTATCCTTGTAAATTAATTCAATTACAGTTTAAAGCAATTTAACAGTGGTTTATTCTGTCCCAATTGATGTTATATTAATTTAAATATTATATTGTTAAATCGTAGAACACTACCGCACATGTTATTAGCTTCCAGCACCATATACAAATAAATTGAAAAAAAAAACATCCTATTAAATTGTAACCAAAATAAGATTTAAAATATAAATATATATTATTCTATTGCTTTAATGTATTTCCAGGCAAAATAAAAAAAAATCCATTATAAAATAACGAAAAAAACACTGCTCATGTTATTAGCTTCCAGCAGCATATACAAATGAAATGAGAAAAAATAAAATACTTTTAAATTGTGCCCAAATGAAGACTAATAATATAAATAAATTATTTAAAGTGCTCTGCTGTATTTTTAGGCAAAATAAAGTTAAAACTATTGTAAAATAACACAAATAAAAACAAACGAAATATTCTTTTTAATTGAAGTGTGACCATTTAGCAAGAGCATTTTTGGACATTATTGACTCGGTCACACTGAACACTAGGCTAACCAAATCCGAATCTCTAAATCCGCGTCCGCATCCGCAGCCGAGGAATCGAGCAGCCAGTGGCCAACCCGCCCATCATGTCGCCCAAATACACGCACGCGATTGTGGCCAGGTGAGTGACGACATGTCCTGGAGCCCGGCTCCTCCGGAATTTAAGCGCGCAAGTGGAACGGGAGGAGGAGGGAGTGTCTTGTCCCCCAGTGGCGGGGAATTAGGTCACCCAGCCAACTCTTCGTGGGTGTACACATGCCAGGGTGTGGGTGGGGCAGCCCCGGACCAAAGGGACTACGAAGGATCAGGATGCATCCATCAGCACATTTAGTTAAATATAAAGAAAGAAAGATATATATTAAGTTACTTTTATATACATATGTATAATCCATTCAGACACCTTAAATCAATTAATGAAACCATTGTACGTCTGTTAAACCACAGAATCTCGGACGCCCTGCTGGAGAACGGAGAGTTTGATGTGCAACTGGCCAAGCAGCAGCACGAGCAGTACTGCACTTTGCTGCGAACCATTGGCCTGGACGTGATCGAGCTGCCGCCGGACGACCAGCTGCCGGAGGGCGTTTTTGTGGAGAACAGCGCTGTCATCTGCAATGGCGTGGCCCTGATTGGGCGATCGGAGAATGCGAAACGGCGACGCGAGGCGGAGAGCATGGCCATCATACTGAAGAAGGAGCTAGACATTCCCGTCATCGAGATTGAGGATCCACATGCCCAGCTCGATGGCGGGGATGTGCTCTTTACGGGTAAGACGTGACTGGAAACCTCTTTGTAGGTGGCATATTAATCTGCTAATCCTTTCAGGTCGAGAGTTCTTCATTGGCATCTCTGGGTACACCAACGAGGAAGGAGCTCGGGCCGTGGCCATGGCCTATCCCGAATATCCAGTGACGCCGATTCGAGTGGGTTTTTCTTTGCTTAATTAATACATAAGCTTTAATAGGAATCCTATGCTGTTTTCCTAGGTCAACGGTGCGAAGCGCCTGAAATACTACGTGACAATGGCGGGACCGGATGTTTTGTGCGTTAGCAGCAGCCCCACCTGCCAGGAGATCGTGAAGCGGATGGAGCGGGAGGCTAGCTTCACCTACCAGAAGCTGACGCTGCCCGAGGAGAGTGCGGCCAACATGCTGTATATCAACGGAACGATTGTCCATAGATCGCCGGCGGAAATTCCAGAAGCCTACAAGGTTAGTGTGAGGGCAGCACCCCGGCTAATTAAGACGTTCGAAATGCTAATTGATCGCTCTACTTCGCAGACTTTGAAAGAGAAAATTGACATTCCAACACGCAACATAAATATTAGCGAATTTAGCCAATATTCCAGTGGACTGACGTCGTCATGCCTGTTGCTGCGACGCTGGAAGTCCATACGCAGCCTGTGAATCTCTAACTAGTGATTATCAGCAGCTGAAGTAATATCACTTGAATCTAAATCGGAGTGAGAAGAAGCATTTGCCATGAGAAACACGCACAAGAGCCCAGGGGCAGTCGCCTGCTGTCCAGGCATCAGCAATATCGTATTATCTTATTATAGTTTATACACCAATTTCTTGTTATTGTTACCAATTTAAGATTAAACCTTTGAAGCTAATCACGCTGACGATGGCTATGTCCCGGTGATGATGGTGTACCATCGCATCAGGACCCGGATCGGCAGCATTCATTTATCACCCACTCACACACACTCCATTGACGACGTTGAACGGATATCATATTATTATTATGGTAAAGAATCGCTATTAGAAATTGTATCTACTTTACAAGTAGCTTGTTGAATGTGTGTTCAGTGTCTGTCCTCGAAATAAAATGCAATATTTGTAATCTCTTTATAAACTTTAAAGTACTTGCTTAATTGATTCGCACTTTGAGGAGAGGTCAAATGTCTGCTCGAGATGAGCGAAAAGAGGCCTGGATGGACTTTGCTTCATGTGGAATTCTGGTATTTAATCATTCCCAGTTCAGAAAAGTAGAAGACTTTAAAATTCGAAAGTTAAGGCACAATTTATTTGGATTCCTATAGCATAAACAATATAAATATATATTTATAGTTATTGATGCAAAGCCTCCAGTGTTTACTCGAGTAATTGTGCGTCAAACTACATAAACATAGGGTCCTTAAACGGAATTGTCATCATCTTTGGCCTCTTTGGTGTTATCCTCTTCACCCTCAGGTTCTGCTTTTGCCTCGGCCAGAGTCAACTCGGTGTCCTTAGTGTTCTCCTCCAGAATTTCCCCAGCTTCGGCATTAGAAGAAATCTCCTCAGCTTCGGCATTAGAAGAAATTTCCCCAGCTTCGGCATTAGACGAAATTTCTCCAGCTTCGTTATTAGCAGAAATTACTCCAGCTTCGTTGTTAGCAGAAATTTCTCCAGCTTCGGTAGAGTTATTCGGGGACGCGACTTCCTGATTGTCTCCATTTGGCTCCTCAAAAATTTCTTCTACTACGGCCACATCTACAAATACGATTGCGTTAGTTAATATGAGGGCATTGGGGGGCAGTACTTGCCTAGTTTTTTTAGATTGAGTTTTGAGGACTCTTCCTCCAGATAAACCTTGGGTTTAACACCTTTGTCTTCGGTAGGTGGAGTAGATTTACCTAGAATTTATCTAGTGATTAGAGTATATTAGGTAATTGGGAAAGTAGTACTTGCCTGCCTTGCCGGCCTTGCCTGTCTCGATTGACTCATCCTTCTTGGCCCTCTTGGTCTTAATTGGTGACTGACTGTAAGAAAATAATGCAAAACGAATTAAGATTTTTGTGTGGAAGTTAAAGTAAGTAAACTCAAAAAAGCATACTTATAAAGTAGGTGAAGGGAGCATCTATAAAACTCCAAATCAAAATCAAAATACTTACCCACGGTGGTGAGCGAAGCTCATTTTCCTTGACTCCTTCTTTTTAGCGGCACCAGAGGGCATCTCGTCTGGCTTCAATGGAGTCTCTTGCTTCTTCTCAATCTCCTCAGACATAATTTCTCCGGTCTGGCTGAGTTTGTTGTTCTCCATTTTAATGCGTGGATTTTCTTGATTTTAACAGGTGCTAAAATATGATACTTTCCTCACTTGAAAGGCTGAAAGAATAAATATAGAAAATATTAGTAAGAATTAAAATAATATTTAAAGTCTCATTACATTTTCACTAAATATAGCTTAAATTAAATTAAAAAAACAATTTTCTTATGTGAACATTTCATTTATTTATATCTAAATATAAACTTAGCCTACATTTAAATGCATTTTGCTTTACCGAAAATTAAAACTTATCCAAATGTGTGGATCATAGTAGGGATTTGTTGGGTGGGATGTGGAGTTGTTCCTATGCTTTATGCTTATGCGTTGTGATGAAATGGGGAAACGATTCTAGCCTAGTGACCAGCTCTCTCTCTCCTCCGTTCGTCTGTGGCGATGAATATCCTTTGACGACTTCAGCGAGCTCTCAATGGGATAATACTAGTCATAATAAATAGAGGGGGTCTTACTATAATTACAAGTTCAGTTTATCTGGGACCTCTGAGTGGGTGAACTTAGGACAAGTGTGCACTCCGAATATATATAAAATATATGTATATATCGGTGAGTGTCTGTGGTTGGTGGGTAAGGGAATACTTTGGGTGTGGGCCAAGCTGCTGCTGCTGCTGCTGTATATCTTCTATATACATCTAAATAGGGTATCGATCGGTTGCCGGCGGATAAGCTAGCTGGGAAAGGGACGTTGGGCCTCGTTGGCGGCCCTGGGATCAATGTAAGAGATCACGCTGCTCTGGCTGCTATCGTCCTCGATGGTCTCGTTGAGATTTTCGTTGTGAGAGTTGCTCAGCGGCTTGGCTTCCTTCTCCCTGTCTCTCTCCCTCTCCCGTTCCCTTTCGCGCTCTCGTTCTCTTTCTCGCTCTCGCTCTCTTTCTCTTTCCCTTTCGAAGCGCTCGGCGACCTGATCCTGCTTACTCCTCAGCGGACTGCGGCACTTGATGGCCTCGTACAGCTCATCGATGGAGGTGTCCTGGTCGTGGTCATGATGGTCCTGCTCCGGATCCCCTGTGACCCTGTCGCCACTCGTGGCGGCCACAAACTCGTCATCAAACTCGTTAAGCACATCCACATCAGCATCACTGGCATTCGAGGATTGGTAGCAACGAAAATCATCGGTCAGGGTTAAATTAAGATCGTTATCCGCCTGGGGAGCATACAGGCCGTGGCTGCGTATGCTAATCTCCGAGTTCTGGTAGTTCAGATCGCTCTCGTTTGTGGGACTGCCGGACAGGAGCCGACCGTCATCCTCCGTTTCAGTTTCCACCATTGCCAATGGATGATGCGCCGCCGCCTTCAATTGGCTGAGATTATTGCTGGAGCATGAGTACGCCTGCCGCAGTTGCTGCTCCTCCAGCGTGCTGGCCTCGTGGCCCGACAGCTGACTGGGCTCCTCCTGAACGCCCGTGTTGTCCAGTCCCGGCGACTTGCCACTAGCTTCTCCGCTGCCAGCGCCGCCTGCAAGCATTTCACTGATGTTGTTCAGAGATTTCGATTGCTGCTGCTGGCTGAAACGGATTAGGACACTGGGAAAGTCATCGTCCAGCTCGATACTGTTGTTGGTGGTCACCTGTAACGAGTTGGACACGTATATCTCATGTACTTGGAGCAGCGGCTCTTCGAGGCTAATTTCCGGCAAACCCAGGCTGTTCATGGCCTCCAGGCTGGGCTGCTTTACAGGCGTGGAACTGTTGGGTTGGTGCTGTTGCTGATGGGTTGACGATGACCCTCGGTTGCGGAACAGGCTGCTCATTCCGCTGGCCGGTGGCAAGGTGTTGGCATACAGTGGAGCGTGCTCGTCCAGAGAGCTAGCATCCTCCTCCTCCATTTCGTGCTCTGGCTCCTCGGTAGTTGCTGCTGCTGCTGCAGCTGCCGCTTGTTCCTGCTCCTCCTGTTCCTCCTCGTCATCGTCGTCCTGCTCATGCAGCGTTTCATCGAGCAGCGAAGGTGTCCTAGTGCGTCCATTCGCTCTCAGTTTGATCACCTCGTGCTGCGGCGTCAGAGTCTCTGGGATATTGGTATATATGTTCGCCTGCATAATCTTCGTAGCCGCCGAGGCACTGGCAGGCACGAAACGCTTGAATTGCAACGACTCTCCGCCGACGCCGCTCTCTTTGGGCGCCATTGCCATTGGAGATCCATGGTTCTTGTAGTGGAGATTAGTGTTGTTTACCTTGCTCCCACCAGCCAGCAGGGTCATGGCATTGTGGTGCCTGCTGTACAGCTGCTCCGAGCTGGCGTCACTCAAACTGTGCTGACTGTGGAGCTGCATTTGCATCTGCATCTGGAGCTGCATCTGCGGCATTGTCTGGCGCTGCAGCTCAAAGTTGTTCCGCTTGGCCAGGCGCTTCTGTTTCTTGAAGAACTTTCGAGCCACATTGATCTGGTTGGGATTGTAGAAGATCTCCGCCGAGGGTATTAGGTCGTGGTTAGAGCCATGGAGCAGTGCGTTCAGGCTGTGCGGCGGCACAACGCTACCCGAGCCGGAAACTCCGCCACCGGATGCTGTTGCAGCAGCAGCTCCTGCAACTCCAACCTGCGTTCCCTGCTGGCCACCGTTGGCATTGGTGTTGTTGATGATGGTCATGCCGCCCGCACCGTTGGCCTGCAGCAGCTGTTCCTGCTGGCTCCTCGTCTGACTGCGCGTCTGGCTGCGCATGCTCCGCGAGCACTGACTGTTCGAGCGCGAACCCGCCGAGTTGTTTGCGTCGTAAAGGCTGCCGGGTCCGGGATTCGCCTTGTAGGCCACTATCGAGTTGCTGATCATGGCGGTGCCAGGTCCAGGCATCCCAGCTGATGGATGCGTGCTCCTCGCCTGGCTGCCATTGTTGTAGGTCACCAGTTTCATGGGTCTGCAGTTGCCGCTACTCCTTCCGTCTCTGCCCTGCGACCAGGCCTGCCGGGCATCATTCCGACTGAGATTGTAGAAGATTAGCAGAAAGATACCCAGGAAGGAGCAGCAACCGGCAAAGGAGATCACGTACAGATCCTGGCCACCGCTAACGTAGCCAGCTCCTGAAAGCCAGGCGCCGGCGTACAACACCAGGAAGATGAAGTGACCGCGCAAATGGGAGAGATTCGAGCGCTCAAAGTCATCGACTATACTGCTCAGGGGATTGCTCAGCGTGCTGTACTGCTCTTGCATGTGATCGTGCTCCTTGCGTCCACCGCCGGGTTGACCAATGGCCGCCGTGGTGGCACTACCATTCGCATCCAACCAATCCAGATCGATGTGCTCCGTGGCCTGAGTATTGTTGTCCGAGTACTGCCGATGATGGTGCTGCTGGTGCTGCTGCATCTGCAGCTGGAGGACATTCACTGCCTGCTGGCTCAACTGGTAATAGATGCACAACGCCAGGATGCCGCAGAATATCACAAGGATGACGGCGGGCACGAGGAGGGCGTTCAGCGTAGTGGCACTGTGCAGGAAGCAGAAGTCGTAGGCAGCATACTCCGCCAGGTTCACGGCGCTACTGATGCCGCAAATGAGGAAGGCAATGCCCCAGCCGACCAGGTAAATTCCAAGGATGGGCTTGCGCTCTCTCTCCCGCTGCGGCTCCATTTCCTGGCCCTGTACCTGGCCCGATGTTGTCGTCGTCTTGGTCAGCCGCTTGTACATGCTACTCAGGCTAACGCACACCCAGAGCAGGACGCACAGGCCAAGGTAATGCATCAGCAGGCCTAGCAGGCGGCACTGCGGTTGGCTGGCCGTCTGGTAGATGCCCAGCGAGAAGGCAAGTGCCAGGGATCCCAGTGCCAGCCAGGTGTTGACCAGTGCATGCCGCTGCACTCTATTAATCCTTACGGCTCGGCCAAAGACAGCAAAGGTAACCGCATTGAAGGCGCAGCATGCGAAGAGAAGGCCACAGCCGGCATAGACCGCCGCCGGGGGATGACGGAATCTGGCTCCTGCCTCCTCGCTTCGAAAATCGTTGAGATAGCGACTCCGCTGCAGCAGGCCAAAGTAGCCCGTCCGGCTACAGCTGAACATGACGAGTGTGCGGTGCTGGTAGTGCTGCTGGCAGACGCCCGTCTCCCAGCGCTGCTCCTCTGCATCCCACCACGCCGGCTGCGGTGCACTTAGCTGATTGTGATACGGATGTGCGCGCAGCATCACTGTGACCCGCTGCTGGTACACATCCTCATCGGGATCCAGTTCGCCAGCAGATTGAAAGTGCAGTGGTTCTCCTTCGCTGCTGTAGGCCAGCACACCGATGATGGCCGAGGACAGGGACTCATTGTGGCTGCCCCTCAGGTTGGGCAGAAGTTTTCCATTCCTGTGTAGTGAGATGAGCAGGCGAAGGCTTCGCGATGCGGCTGGACTCAGAGAGCTGTTTCCGATGACGCTGTAGGGCAGTTGGATGGCGGCATCTATGTCACCATGTTCGTACATGGGTATCGTATCGTTGGCGCTGTTGCACTGAAAGCCACGCGGACTCTGCTCCAGCCAGACGCAGGACAGGCTGACGAAGGCCTCCACACTGATGTTGAAGAACTCCACGAAGAGATTGCGCTGTTGGGCAAGTGACCCCCGCCAGGGGATCATCTCCGCTGGCAGCAGCTCAGCCTGGGTGCTGGCCAGGGCCAGGCGCATGGCGGAGGATTCTACCACATGGAGCAGACGCTGTCCCGTACCCTGCTCCGATTGGGCGGCGCGAAAGAGGTGAGATGGAAGATTGAGCAGCTGCGAAACTATGTCCATCAGCAGGTGGCTGATCTCCTGCTGCTGCTGCGGCTGCTCCAGCTGATCCAGGTACTTGACAAGCGTGCGAGCAATGTACTCCAGGTCCATTGGATCCCGTATGCGATTCAGCTGCGTCTGCGCCTGTGTGAAGTTGTGCAAGCGTCGGGCAATTTCCAGGGCATTCTGGCCCTTTGTCAGCGTGAGATTCACTTTGGCGAACTGCTCCAGGATGCGCGTCGTCTCACTGACATAGACACAGCTCTCGGTGTCCAGATTGAGCCACTCCCCCGACGGCCCGCATTCGTGGGACGCCCGCCGGGCCTGGGTGGTATCGCTGGGCTCCTCCACGCATTCCTGCAGCACCGTCTCGCCGCGCATTGTCCGTGGCCAGTGGTAGGTGCCTTTGTTGGTGTGCACTACACGCGCCTCGCAGTACAGCGTGCCCTTGGCCACCACATGCAGGACGATGGCCTGCGATAGGTTCGCCTGCTGGCTGCGCAATGTGCAGTCCCACATTCCTGTGTGATTCTGAGTGAGGCTACCGATGCGTAGAATTGACTGCAGGATGCCAGAGTCCGTGGAATGGCGCGTCTCTAAGCTGACATCCTCGAACACCTTCGTGGGATCCTGATACACGATATCCTCGGTGGAGTTCTTGGCCCGAATCTTCTCGGACCAGCCCCAAAAGACATAGGCCCGTGTTGGCAAGTCCTCACTCTCCCGGGGCACTCCGATGGCCACCCGTGGGGCATAGCACTTCAGCTGCAGCTCATCGCCCTCGAAGGCAACCTGGTTTTGGCTGGGTATCAGCTCTAGGAGCGGCTGGAGCAGAGTCTCGCAATGAAAGTCCTTGCCCACGCGGAGCTTCTTCAGGGGCATGCCGCGAAAGTTCACAGGCGAATCGCATTTCGGCGGCGGCTGCAGTCGTACGTCCCGGGCACTTGACCAGGCAATCAGCCAAATCAGGCTGCAGTCGCAGGCCAGAGGATTTCCACTCAGATCGCTGCAAACGGAAGGTACAACGATGAATCTTGATACCTGTAAACTTGCACTCGGCAAAAGCTAATAACTTACAGTTGCTTGAGCTTGGGCATTTGGTCGAAGGTGCCCTCGTATATGTGGCTGATGGCATTCCCCGCCAGCTTCAGCCTCTCCACATGAGCCAGGCTGTTGCCGAAGGTTTCCCTGTCCAGTTCGGTGAGCAGATTAAACGACAGATCCAAGCGCTTCAGTTCCGTAAAGTTCCTAAAGTCCTCGCCGGTTATATGGGCAATGGCGTTCTTGCTGGCATTACTAAGACCACGAAGTGGACGAGTTGATTGATTGATTTGACTTGACTTGATTTGACCGGGGGGAAAGCGCACACTTACATGCCCACAATGCTGGCGGTGACATCCTCGCCAAATTCCAGCTCCCGCCAGCTGGCTATCTGCTGCTCATCGCAGCGCACACGCAGGCTGTGTATGTTCTCCGAGATGTTCCTACAACTACACTTGCGCGGGCATCCGGCGGCTGCAGTTGCCGCGCTTCCACTTTCCGGCCCTTGGCCATCGGGATTCTGCCCCTGACCCGCTGCGGCTGTCGCTGTTGCTGCTTCTCCACCTCCGCCTCCTGTTCCACCAGTCTCTGTCGCCGTCGAAGTCAGCGCAAGGAACAGAAGCAACGACAGCGACGCCAGCAGAGGGGGGCGGGTGCTGCTACGATCTCCACGCCCCGCGTTCTTTTGGCCGCCCATATCCATGGATTCGATTGATTACATGCCGGGCGCGGGTGGCGCGCATTTAATTAACAATTTCCGAGCCGATTCATAATAAACAACAACAGAAAACACACACAGCAAATAGTTTACAACAATAAAAAAAAACGCGCAGCCAGTGTTGCTCTATTTCTAATTTTTTTTTTAGAACTAGAGACGGTCGATGAGCAATAAGCCCGGTTGGATCTAGAGATATCGATTGCTCGTGCACTCATCGATATTTATTTCACCTTTTTTGAATGGGACCGCGTAAGTTATTAGGAGGAAAAAACACACAAATCAAAATGGCGGACCCACGCCAACAAAATGGAGTTTTTCACATATGAAATAATTTTCACCGTTATATATATATATATATGTATGCCAACAAAATGGCGTTTTTCACATGCGAACAAATTTTATATATGTATGTATGCGTACATGGGGAATCGTTTTGAGACTACCATTTTTTTTACAGCAAAAAACGGGACTTTTGGGACTGCTTCTTTTTAGAGGTTTTGATTAGAAAACACATAGAAAATTGCAAAAATCTGTTTAAATAAAATCAAACTGTCGATTGATTGACTAATACAATGCAATTACTTTTTAGTAGCTTTGAAAAATGTTAGCTGAATTACTTGACATGAAAGAACGTGTATTCAAAAATATTACTTATATATTTGATTTCTTTTCACTTCACTGATTAATACAATGAAACTACTTATAAGACGCTTTGCAAAATGGTAGCGGAACAACTTGATGAGACCACGTGTTTTTAAAAATGTTGCTTATGTTCAAAAATTGTTTTCTTTTGACCGAAATTCGTAAATTTTCGATGGCAAGAGGCGCAGGTTTTCTTCCGGTTGCAGTAACTTTTTATATGCAGTTTCTGAACATTCGAAGAAAATGTAACCCGCTTTATATATAGTAAATTACTTTAAATTAACTTTACAGGAGAGGCAGTTGCTTTAAGAACTGATTAAGAGGGAAAAGCACAGAATAAAACTCACCAGTAGTAGGATGTAGTAACACGTGGTATAATTAAGCACTCACTAAATTCAAGAAAACTTAGGCACGTCCGCACTGCACGAGAGTCACACAGGAAGTGAAGCTTCAAGGGAAGGCAAGGTATAGTCGAGAGTTAAAAGTCTTTGAAGAAAAAGGGGGGTTTCCACTTGGTAAAAGCTATTAATGTAGGTTATTCACACTTAATTAGATTTTATCTCCCATTCCCTTATTCCTTGGAAACTTATATGTGATTTCTGTGGTTCCGTGCCGCAAAGCAAAATGAATTTTAAGGTATTTTAATAATTATGTTTATTAACAATTTGGTAAACATTTATAATTGATAAAGTTAATAATAAAAAAAATATATGAAACCTAAGTACTGTAATCTGTTTTATTTTGATTAGGCCAATACGGAACACTTTTCATAATTTTGTTTGTGGCGAAACGGCTAAAGTTTGCTTAATAACTTAAACACCATCAAATAAATTAAGACGAAATGTATACCATTTTTTTAATGTTCTATTAAATAATATTTATGGGTATAAAAATTATAGGGGATCTCCCGAACACCATAAAAAAAGGTGGTTTACGGTGTCCATCATAACTGTCCATAGAATCATCTGATATTAAAATTAGTTAGGTGATTAGTTAATGGATTAGTATCCTGAGGTTCCTACCGAAAAATATTATTATTTTTTATAATATTTTCCGATTTTATATCAAAATCTTTTGACTATAAATGTTACTGCCCAAAAACAAAGTTGGTTTACGGCGGACATCATAACTGTCCATAGAATCATCTGATATTAAAAAAATTAAATTTATTAGTTAATGGATTACTATCCCCAGGCATTCACGATGCATTATTATTATACTTTTTTTAATATTTTCTAATTTTTTTAATCAAAATTTGGAAGTCAAACACCGGTTTTTCCTAAAAACATATGTTGCTTTGTCAAATACAAATATAACTATTTTATTTTTGTATATAACTATATATTTTATATAACTATTAAACAAATTGGACGGTAGAATTGTATGTTTATTCGAAAATAGTTTTAAATCGCTTAAAATTGTTTTCCAGCTGTTTAACAGATGGGATCCAAGAAGAAACAAAGCTTCGATTCAACATCTATATCAGATGGGAACACTGGAATTGAAAAAAGATGTTAAGTTTTCAATGTTTTTGTATAAAAGCATCAATTTAAAATAAGAAAATACCCAATGAATGCATACAATTTAATATAGATTTATTTTTGAGCCAACTGGGCGGCTTTTCGCTCGGGGTTCATGACCCCGTCGATCGCCGCCGCCGCACAACCAACGTAATTATGCAAATAAACATACACAAAAAAATATAAAGAGAAGCACACTAACAAAGATTGAGATTGCTAAAAACAGGTTTGCATCTTTAGAACTTAGAGCTATTTTTGAATGCTGCCTAAACGATCAGTGAGAAGGGCTTTCCTCGTGGGGGCGGAGGAAGGGTGAGGAACCGGTAACCGGGAAGCTGGAGGTCAGCCAACCCCTACGCCAGCTTGCCATTGTGCGCCGCCCGGTACTTGGACAGCTTCTCCATGTAGTCATCATGCCGCTCCAGCGTTGCCAGCAGTCCCTCCGTGTTCACCGGCGACTCCTCCGGCCCGTAGTTAATCAATTGGTCAGTCAGCGTGGTCATGGTGCCGCCCAGCGCATGCAGAATGGCATCACCGGCGCAAATATCCCACTTTTTGATTTTGGATGTATGCAGGTACGCGGTGGCATTGTTGGCCACCACCTGGAGCACCTTGTAGCCGGCACCCGCCGCCGTTAGCAGGTTAACATCCTCGCCGAAAATGCCCCGCGCCAGATCCTTGGCCCCGGCGGTATGGGAACGTGAAACGGTGATGATGGGCGCCTGACTGTCCGAAGCATGCTGCGGATGCAGGTTGGCCAGGTACTCGGACATGGAGTTGCCCACCCAGGCCCAGGCAGTTTGTCCATTGAAAGGACTATGGATTACACCGATGATGGGTCTTCCGGCCACCGCAACGCAGACCATTGTGGTCACGTACTCGTACAGTTCCTCTGTGAGTTGGAAATAATACAATATTTAAAGAAGGTCAACATTTAAAATCTCTCACGGATTCTGCTCACCTGTAAACTCCTTTGTGGCATCCAGTGGATCCACCCAGACGGTTACATCCTGGGCATTGACGCTCACATCCGGCACTTGAGCGGTTTCGTGCAGCACCGTGGGATCCAGGTCATAGCCATGCGCCTGCCGGCAGTGCTCCTTATCCTCCTCGGAGAAGATGAGAACCCGCGGAAAGATGCGCTGCAGTCCCAGCTTCATGACACAGTGCGACCGGCCATCGGCATCGGTGAATGGATCGTTGACGCCTTCGTCCGTCTTGCCCTTGCTACGCTCCTTGAGTTGTCGGGACCGCGCCACGTCCAGCACCTCCAGACCGCCGCGCTGTGCCGCCTGAATGGCAGCAATCAACATCTTGCGAAGATTGACGCGATTGGGATTGTCGCTGCGTAGCATGCCATAGATGGCTGGCCTCTCCTCCTGATGGAAATTGAGGAAGTAGACCAGCACAATGGTCAGGAGAATGGCCACAATTGTGGCCGGCAGCCGGTTGATGCGTATAGAGCGTCCGTTCATCTTGTCCGCGCTCATGGGAAACTAGATTGCGGCGAGCTTCGGACAGGGACAGAGCGCCTCGTTGTCAGTATTGCCAGGTCACCAGATAAGATCGGATCGGATTCTGATCGCAGACCGAGAGATCCAGATCCAGATGCTGTGTAAACAGCGGGAGCGCGGCGAACAGAAGAGCCAGAGCAGTGTAGAGGCAGGCACGTTGTGAAAACACCTGAAGCCCAACTGGCAGTGCTAAGCAGAAGGGGGGGCAGGTGAGCGGTGAGTGGCGCTCGAGCTTCGTTCTCTTTTGATCTGTTCTGTTCTCCCCCTCCGTCACGTCCACGTCGCGCGTTTTTTTGGCCCCAACAAAAAAATAAGGTAAACAAAGAATAGGAGCAGCCTTGCCAGAAGATTTGGTCTTGAGCCCCCAGCGCTGCCAGAGTTTTCGAGGCGGTAAACAATAACAAACGGTTGGGGGTTGCGATAAAATTGCCAGTATAACCCCACCCGGCCATCGGTATCCTCTAGCCAGGTTTAACACCCCTCTTGGGGTCACACTGAAGTCACAACCTTGCTTTTAGAGCCTAATTATGCTTTTTACGAAAATTATATCTTTGTTTTCTATTAATCATAAAAATCAGTTAACAACAGTTTACGAACTGCCTGACCTTCTTGTTCTATTCCAAAAAATTACTATTATATTTATGATCAATGCCTAATCAATATTTGAATTTAATTCAATTTATAATTTATTAAAATTAAAGAGTATAAAAATTAATTGAAACGTAACAAATCAGTTATTATCATATTTATTAATATTTGTATTGACAATAAATAACATTTCACTTGTTTTTTATTAATTATTTTTATAAAAATATATACAAAAATTAATTGAAATGTACAAAATCATATATTATTATTATAGCCTTGCAGGAATTTATCATTTTAGTCAGTTTTCAACACATTTTCATTAATTTTGAGTTTAAGCCTTTTGTATTATTCAAGAATATCAGTTGAAATAATATGACAATCACAGGACTTCCACAGAAACTATCGTAAAAAGTAGAAGAAAATGCGGATGTAAAACTGCAACTGCAAAACTGTAAATTTAATACGTAAAAGGGACTGTAATTAAAGTAGGAATTAGTTAGCAAGATTTTAACGCAATTATATATTATTTATATTGTTTTTATTATTGTTTTTCGAATTGTAATCTACAATCTGTAGACGTGTAAAATTGATTTAAAGACGTGTAAGACGTAAAATGTTAAATAACAGCTTCGGAATTTAAAGTGACCAAAAATGTATCGCAACGTCGATGAGACAACAAAATATCGATATATTAACGACTTTCTACATGAAATTTATACTTGTATCTGTAAAAGTTGGAAAGTAGAAGAAAATGCGACTGTAAAACTGCAAATGCAAAAGGGTTTTAAAATTTAAATCAGCTTTCAACACATTTTCATTAATTTTGAGTTATTGTATTATTCAAGAAAATCAGTTTAAGTTATATGATAATCATAGGACTTCCACAGAAACTATCGTGAAAAGTAAAAGAAAATGCAAATGTTAAACTGCAACTGCAAAGCTTTAAATAGTTTAATACTTTAACAATAGTTTACTAACTGCTTCCAGTTATATTCTTCTAGAAAAATTATTATTATTATAATTGTGTTTAATCAATATTTCAAGTCAATTGATTTTCAACTTATTATAATTCATTAAAATTAAATAGTTAAATATAATAATAAATATGAATTAAAACGTTACAAATCAGGTATTTCTATATTCATTTCTATTTGTATTGACAATAAATACCAATCCATTAGTTTTTTATTAATTATCTTTAAAAAAAATATACAAAAATTAATTCAAACGTACAAAATCATATTTTGTTATTATAGCCTTGCAGGGTTTTGTAATTTTAACCACTTTTCAAAACATTTTCATTAATTTTGAGTTATAGCTATTTAGTGTTATTCAAGAATATCAATTGAAATAATATGACAATCAGAGGACTTCCACAGAAACTATCGTGAAAAGTAGAAGAAAGGGCGAATGTAAAACCGCAACTGCAAAACCGTAAATGTAACACGTAAAATTGACTATAATGAAAGTAGGAATTATTTAGTAGTTTTTTAACACAATTATATATTAATTATATTGTTTTAAATAATATTTATCTAATTGTAATCTGGAATCCATGTATATGTAAACGTGTAAAACGGTTCTGTAGACGTGCAAGATGTAAAATGTTAAATAACAGCATATAAATAATATCGCAACATCGATATATCGAAATATAACGATATCAAATATTTCCAAGTCGAATATTTTTTTTTTGCGTCGCTCGGGTAATCGCGTGTGTGCTGTCGAATTTTCGTAAAATAAACCGAAAAAGTAAACGGCGTTTTTTCTTGTTTTTTTTTCTGTTCCCACACTGCGGTACTTGATATTGCGATGAAATATAGTTAACACACAGCAACAGAAACGACAGCCACAACAACAACAACAAAAAGTGCGTGCGCGTGCAGAAAAAGAAAAATTGTGGGCGAATCAACAAGCAAAAGAGAATGAGCGATGATGAGGAGAAGAGGCAAGAGCAGAGGCAGTTGTCGTAGTGCTAGTACAAAAAAGAAACTGCGAAAACTGCTTGTGAAGTGACAACAACAATTAAATAATAATAATAACAACAACAATCCGTACCAACCAACCAAAAAAGAAACGCAAATAAATAATAAGAAAACAGAAAGCAACCAAAAGAAGAAGGTAGAAAAAGTAAAAAACGAGCGCAAAAATACATGTCCACAAAAGTAGCTATAACAACAATAACACAAAAATTAACTTAAAAAGTCGTGAATTCGTCGTATAGTACATACACACATACACACGGGCACAAATACATGAACGCTGCACATGTGTGAGCTCGTCTAGTGGTGTGAGCGAGAGCGCTCTGTGTTTGCTGCTGTGCGTTATTTATTTTATTTTTCGTTAATCATTTTTCGCATTTGGCGAATAAGTTGGAAAAGCGACAATAAAACAACAATATAATACAACGGACAAGCAGAGCAGAGTGAGCAGTGCCGCAGCAGCAGTTTGCACCACTTGAAAGAGGTATTTATGCTTGTATTTTGTTTGTTTCCCGTTTGCTTTCAATCCATTAAAATTCCCCCACCATTTTGTCCACTAGGAGAAGGAATATTCTTATTAGATCAGCCCGCAGCAGCGACTTCTTTTTCGTCTGTTTTGCTACTTCTGTTGCTTCTCACTCAATTCGCCGTTATTTATGTAACAAGTGTGTGCGTGCTAAATGAAGTGCTCTCGCTCGCTTTGCTTGCTCTCTTTCCACCGCCCCTCCTCCTCTTCTCTCATTCGCTCTTTATATTTGATGATTTGATTTTGTTCACTTAGTAAAGTTGCTTTTTATTTTTTATTGTTGTCCGCTGTAAATGTGGCTGCCACCCAAAAAAAAAAGAAATAAAAATAATAAAAGCTCCACCGCAAAGCGCATTGAACTGGTTTATGTTGTGCTCGCTTCTTCTGTGCTCCACTCTTTCTCTTCTCTCCTCTTTTGGCTCATTCTGTCCCTGTCCCCCGCCTCGCTCCCACTCTTGGTTATCAACATTGACAATGATGCCAGCAGAGGCAAACAGCGGCGTGGCAGCGCAGCGGCAGAGCGAAATTTGCGGATCTTTTGAGCCCAACTTCTCATTCTTCTTTGGGATTTCTCTTCTGAACTCCACACTCTCCGCCCCCGTTTTTTCATCACTGTTCTCCATCCATTCAGCCACAGTGGTTACTGCGAATGATCTACGCTTGTCAAAGTCTGTAAATATAAACTTAAATTAATTTTTCTTCTTATTATCTTACGGATTTTTTACACTGACTTGGTGGAAAGCAATACGACTTACTTATTGCTTTCATATAAAATGTAATTTTTTATTTGATTTTATTAAAGAATTTTATCTAAAAAAATTAAAGTCATACAATTTTGTAATTGCAATTATCGTTACCGTACCAAATTAATAAAAAAAAAACATCAATTTTTTTTATAGCCAATGGAAATTTCACATTTAGATGTTCCACATTTCGGCTAATTACATTGAAAATGGGTCAGATAAGAAAGAACCTTTTGGGAATAGCAAAAACCATGAAAAAGAAAATTATAAACACAACAAGGATCGTGATTTATTTTACAAAGCAATAACTTTACTGTTTATTTATTGCCTGCTCCCGTTTCGTTTACTTTGTTTTCGTTTTTAAAACTATTTACCAGCGAAGTTAGCCGCTTGTCGTCTCAGTGGAAAACTCGCATTACAGCTCACAATGCAGCCCACTGATGACTATAATTAATCCGACTTGCCACGACATATGTAGACATATATATATATACATATGTACATATGAATGAGCAGCCGACTCATTCTTTATCTGCCAGACTTAATTTTCCCAATTTTGCCTTAACAAATTGAGAGCAAACTACACTTTTATTTATAAAGAGTATAGTTATTGAACCAATAGAACGATATCTATTACTTAAAATTGGACACAATTTTAGACAATGACAATGATTTTGTTTGATTTTGTTTATATTTTTTGATCATGTCATATAGTTAAAGTTAAAGCGTATTTATAAAAGGTAAAATTGTAGTCTGTTAAAAAGGTCTGGGGATTTTCTAAATCGTAGCATTGCTTCTAATATATATAATAAATATTGTATATAATGTGTATAGAATCCATGACTAAATTTAATTTTCTTTTTCTTTTTGGGAGCCTAGATTACTTTGTATTTTTATGATTTTTTTATAGTATATGAATATTTAAGAGTATTATTTTATTTAATATTGATATTTACAAAGAGGCCAGTGTAAACATGCAATTTAAATTTCTCATGTACTTGCTTGTACGAATGTCCTTTGAAGGCTTCTCCCTTTGCTTCCTTCCTTGCAATCATTCACCTATTGCAAAAGGTCCGTATGGAATTAATTGCTTGAATTATTTATGAACATGGCCGATCGGTTTTGGCCTTAATTGGTAACGATTTAACGGTAATTTATTTACAATGCAATTCCAGCCATCCCCTGTTCTGTACCCCCTCTGTCCTGATTTTGTTTTTTGTTTGATTCGGGTTTCGGCTGCTTTTATTCTATTTGCTCGTGTAATTAGTGAACGGAAATTGTTTTGTGCGTCACATGTGTGTGTGTGTTGTGTGTGTGAAGGTCAATGGGGCAACTCGTTATCGTTTTATGGCCACTCCTCCGCAAAGGCGCACCTGAGTCAGACCAACAACCCAAAACAAAAACAGCAGAAATAAATTATACAAAAAATATTTAAATAATTTCCGATCCGAGTAAAGTCCCCTCGTATCATCATATTCTCCCGACTGTAAACAAATCGAAAGAGAAACAAACAAGAGTTTGGGCTGCATATATCATTATCGGAATTCCGAAAATGACAACGAAAATTTTCCAAAATTCTTCTCTTATCAGGAGCAAGTAAAATTCACTTGTTTTTTTGGGGTTTGTTTTGTATGTCGTTAATCTGTCTTTGTGAATTTATTTTTTACATTTCGCTTTATTAAGAATATATTAAGAAATATGCACATAATGTATGTTTTTTGTTTTGTTGAAGGAAGTTGGGTATTTCCTATGACTTGTGATTCTTTTTGGAATGAGTCAGAAGAGACCCAGGGTCCAGATAGTGTTAATCTTTTAGTTAACCAGAGGCTACTCGGTAGTAATATATGCAACAAGTTTAAGAAAGAATGTTTGTCAATTCTGATATATCTAATTATTATTTTTATGGAAAGAACATATATTTAAATGTAAAATTACATATGCATACTTAATTTCTAATTTAAAATTTCCGTTGGAAGCTTCTGACTAAAATTATATTACCATTTTGTAACTGATATTTATCTATATTTTTATTGCAATTTTTCGACAAATCATAGTCTAAAAATAGCATAACAGCCAAAAAAGCATTAATTTCATTTCGGAAAGCAGTTTTTTTCTAGTTTTGATTGGGTTAACAAATCTGCTTACTCAATTTAAAATGTTACAAAAATTCAAATTTTAGCCACTTTTAACAATGTAACCCCTTTAATTTTTTTCAAAAAATCAAATATTTTTGAAAAATTTTCTTTTCTGCTGGAGATGGCTAGAAAGATTCCCCTGTTGATGCTGATCAAGAATATATATGATTTATAGGGTCGGAAATGACTCCTTCAACGTGTGGCATGTTTCTGACTACAATTATAATACCCTGAAAAGGGTATAAAAAGGCAAGCCAGATAATATCACAATAATTGAAAAGACTTAATTGTTTTAAAAAAAAGTCCCTTTCTTAGCCTAAATCTAATGCTATTACAATATTTGGTGGTATATGTTTGTGGTTTAGGAAACTCCAGTTGTCAGTTGTGGATTAGCTTAACCTTTATTCGAACCATAAATCATGAAAATATCCTTTTAAAAATTCAAATTTTAACTTGATTTTTTTGTGGAATATTGTTTAATTTGATTTTCTGATTTGTTGCAGGTTCCGCCCTCCCCCAATTCCATATGCAAAATGTCTAGTCCCGACGATAGAATACCAATACACGGTAAGTGGGAACGAAGGTCCCTTGCAATCCCAACCCTTAGTTAAACTGGGCTTTAGTTCAGGGCGGGGGCAGTATTGGGCGGTTTATTATATTATATATCCTTCTCCTCCTCCTCCACCACCTCCTGTGTTAGATGTTCGTATGTAACCTGCATATGTATAGCATTAAAAACATTCGGAATACATAACTCAAAATGTACACAGACCGTGCATACACCACACACACACACACATGCTCAAACAAAAGCTTACACGGCACGTGTGCCAGTGTGTGTGTGTGTTTGTTGGCTTCCAAAAATAACTGTAATAAGCACATACACAAAAGCGGGCCAGAACTGCGCTGTCAATGATGGATGCACACTGGTCCAAAGTTGGTAATAAAAACATATTGGGAATTATAACGGAAATAATTCATAAGGAATCTGCTCTACAGTTGTCAAAGAACTAGTTGGGAATTTTAACGCAAAGAATTCATTAGAATATGGAAATTATGATGGAAAGAATAAGCAAACCTTTTGAAATCCCCAAAATGGGAATTAATATATTATAAATTTATATTTATAAATTTAATTTACGAACAGCTAATTATAAATTAAACAAAACTTTTATTAAATAGCTTCCTTATGGCCCATTTATCTGCTTTAGTCAAAAGCTGTTAGAACAAAGAGTATAGTTCTTATTGTCTTAATGCCTTACGATTTTGTTGATTTACTCCATTGAGTCTCTGGCATTTTAAGTAAATGTTTAAACCCCTATATAGGCCGAAGTCGATGTCAAATTGACAGAATGGCTTAAAACACAATGGTTAAAACTATTCCCTAAGTAACTAACTCCAGTTGCGATTGTTTTATGTGACAGATGGTGTTCCTTAGTGATGAAGAACCCTATGTACATTATCGTTTCTCTCCCGCAACGTTCTTTTTTTTTATTTGTTGCTGTTCTTAATCAAATCAGTTAAATATTTGCACAGCTTGGAACCACTGTGCGTTTGTTGCTCCTGTTTTTGGTGGCAGTACACTGGGACATTTTGGGAGTGGGAAGTGGGGAGTGCTGCCTACTAACTTTTTGTCCCGGGCAGGCCGAGAACAACAACAAGAACATTGTCCATGGTCGGGTCGTCAACGTCGCTTTCGTCTCCTTTCCATGGCACACAGATAGATATAGATATATGCAGATGGGCGGGGAGTAGGGGAAAGAAAGGTGGGAGGCTTCTTAGCTGATGTGGGTTGGACGTCTCCGTCTTCGTCTTGGCCAGTGCTGCACGGGTTTTCCTCTCCACCAAAAAAACTAAACCAATTTTCGATGGGTAACTCTAAGGAACTTTAGACCAATTAAAATAGGTTATGATAAATATTAAGTGGGAAAAATGTTTGTTATAAGATAGGTTACTAAAGAATGATATATATCCATAAGATATATATTACTTTAGTAATTCTTTAAGGGTTCTATATATTTTCTTTTCAGAAAAGTTATATTTTGAGAAAAGAGAAAAGTAAATCCATTTTTGTTAAACATTTTCAAAAATACTTTTCAAGAAACGTTATAATAACTGAATGTAATTTATGTTTTAACATGACTGACCATAGGTTTAGGTTTAGATATTTAAAAGGCTTTTTCTAGAGGTAAAAACAATATACATTTTTGTTAAAACCTTAAATTTTCCATATCAAACCTTGGAGCTTTGTAAATTTCCGCATAAAAAACAGTTTTCCCCACAACTAGCTAAGCTGACAGCACTGCTCCTGGACGCTTTTCCTTTTGGCCATCCATCGAAACCACTGCCAATGCCAAGCACGTGGATGGGGCGGGAAAATGGGGTGGGATTTTGGAGGGCGGGAGATGGTTTGGAGCCCCGTAATCTTCGCTTCGTGAGCAGCGCTCTTCCCTTTCCCTCTGCGCTCGCTTTCGCTCTCACTCTCTCTCACTCTCTGTCTCTCTCTCTGTGTGTCTGTTTGTTTGCAGCCAAAAGAAAAACATTCGTTTATCGATTTTCGTCTATTTTTAGACACAAAAGCAACAGCAACAAAATTTACTTGCCTTTCAAATGAGTGGTGTAAATGTGTATGTGTGTGTGTGTGTACTGGGTGTGCTGGGTGTGTGTAAATGTAACGGCAATGTTGACTGACGGCCGGACCCGGAGACCCGGGCCACAGCTCCTTGGCTCTTGGCCACGTGCAATCCGCAGACGCGTCCAGAGGTCCCGGGAAAACCGAGGCTTTCCCCTCCAATCGGACCAGGGACAATGGCCGAATCTAATTGCTTGAGCTTTTGGAGCCTCAAAAGGACAAGTTGGAAGTCATGATAATACTTTACCCCATCAATATCCTAATTTATCATTTACCAGTTTTCTAAAATTTTTTTCACATATCTAAGACATCAAAAAACTTAAAACTGTTAACTTGTTCATACAAAGTCATCAAACTAAAGCCTGACTTGTTCTATAATTCATTTTAATCAATATATCGTACAAAAACATATTATTTATAAATAAAGATTGTACTCTATAAAGAAGAGTTATTTTGTGTACAAATTTTAATGAAAACCAATTTTTAAAGAAAGGAAAATTACGAAATCAAAAATATTTTATTAGAAATCGTAGCAAACCAATTTATTGCTAAAAGATATTCAGGTAGAAATTGTTGCATAGTTTTCCATTATTATTAACAAATTTTCAATGACTAAATTTTCGTTGAACTTAAGCTGTAATTAAAACTTTGCTTGCAAATTTTAAACGGCCAATTTAAGTGACTGACAACAACAGAACTCATTAAAAAACTAAGTGTAAAGTTTGTTTGCAGCAACGATTTGCTAATGAAAACTATTTACAAACTTTGCAAGAGTTCTCCTTAACAACTTTCAATTGTTAAATTGTTTGCATTGCTGAACAATTTGCAAAAGTTTACTCTTCACCCTGAAAACACTTACTCGAACTTGTAATTAAAATTTTTATGGATTTTCTTAGATATTTTGGAGTACAATTTCGCAATAAAATTGCCTTTTAAATGTTAAAGTTAATATTATACCTTTTCTTTTTGGGTAGGAATATTTATATATAGAAATTAATTACCCCACACGCCCCCTCTTCATTCAATGTGGGTTGGAATTGATTGTCTAAGACGCAATAAGTGAAAAGTTTTTCCCTTTTGTGTGTGTTTCCATTGTGAAACACGCAGCACCTGCAAGAAGAAGGTCGACTGACTGGACTCCCCTTAGCCTCGCTTTATTCCCTCCCCCCCCCATTATGCCATTATGTCCCCCCTCTGTAGCCGCCGCCCCTGCGATTTCTCCAGTGCTTGGCAGTTGGAGCATTTATTGTAATGGCATTCCAAGAATAAAACTTGGCTCGGTGTTGGTTGGTTCACTTCGGTTTGGCTTGGTTTGTGTGTTGTTGTTTCGTTTGAGCTGTTATATAAAATCGTTAGGGCTTTATGTACATATGTATGAATTTCACCCGTGTAGGAGCCCCCCAAAAAACCCACCCAAAAACCCCACACCACGCCACTGTCTTCGTGGGGGTAATCATATCGAGAGCCTCGTCGTCGACGTTGCGTTTATTTATTCATTTCATTTACTTACAGTGCCAAGCTCAAAACGAAAAATTCGACTTTTTAGGTATTTGCAAATTACCAGAAATTAGATGAATCATTTCTAAACTAAGCCACCTTGAGTATTTAACATTGAATATATAGAATTACCATTGCAAACAATTGAAATATATATATAACTTGGTTTCAATGCGCTTTTAGTCAATTAACCTATTCAAATTATTCAGGAAATGTTTAATTTAGTCAGCATATTGGCTTAATTTCTAAAATGTGCAGACCCTTGGTGTTTGAAACAAATGAGTGGTAACAAAAATATTTGGAAAAAGTGATATTTCAGTCAGGCTTATCAGTTTTGTCATTAAACTTTTCTTTTTTACTGGGAATGTGTATTAAACAAGAAAGGAAATTACTTAAGGAAGTCGAAATTTAGATAGTATTTCAGTTTGCAATTGAATTATAGATTCGAATTTGAAATCAATCTTAACTTGAATCGTATTTTATCGATACTTTTATATGACAATTTTTTCGACAAATTAATGTTTAAAAATGTTCATAACTCAGCCAAAAAAACATTAATTTCAATTCGGAAAGCAGTTTTATGCTAGTTTTTATCAGGATAATAAATCTGCATACTCAATTTAAAATTTTGAAAATTTTAAATTTTTTGCTAATTTTTAAAAATTTTAACGATGTAACCCCTTTCCTTTTTTTTAAAAAATTTAAAATTTTTGAAAAATTATTTTTTTCTGCCGGAGATGGCTAGAAAGATTTCCCTGTTGATGCTGACCAAGAATATATATAATTTATTGGGTCGGAAATGAGTCCTTAACAAGATTACAAGTATCTTAATAATAATATTATACCCTGCAAGGCTATAAAATATATAATACAAAATATAAGTCATACAACTTTAGTTTCTTGAGTTGATCACTCCGAAATCCTTTATACTATAATTCTGCTTTCAATAGAGCTTTTTTTAATAAGATTTTATTTTTTATCGGTTCTAGAGTAGCATTTTTTAATACTGAAAATTGAAATGTACAGCCAAAAATATGATTTAAAAAGTGTTATTACCAAACTTATAAATTAACTCATTTGAGATTGTAAAGCAGTTTTTGTGTTCCTTATTTTAATATATATTTTTTTACATTTTCCAGGGTAAACCACAATAAAAAAATATGTAGTTTAGTTTTTTATTTGTTTTGTTTTTTTTTTTTAGGCGTGTAGTAGCCTAGAACTTCATCAAACGCCACGCCCTTAGCCTTATATCGCCTCACCGCCCCTTTTACAAAACACCAACAACAAAAAAACATCAGTTTGCCGGCGCTCTTTTTTGTTTTTGTTTCTTTTTGGCCTGGCCCAAAAGTTTTGTTTTTGCTGTTGTCGTTTCTATTTATAGAATGCGCGCGCTGGAAATTTACCCACACAATACGCGTACAATCGCAGGCAGCGCACACACACACACACACACATACACAGAAACGTTGCTATCACTCAAAACAAACTTATTGAGGAAGGAAGAAAAGAGAGACGGCGAAAGAGAGTGATGGGTGGGGAACAGGGTGGGGAGACAGGAGAATAAGGAGCATTTCAAGCTGTTCTTCGGCTCTCGCTGTCTCTCTTTCTCTCTCTGTTATTGTCGTATCAATTTCCAATTGAATTTCAGTTTCAATTTCAATGACACCCAGCGCCCCTCTCATAAAATTTTATAACGTTTTTTGTGCTTTTCATGTTCTCTTTTTTCCACCTCCTCCACCACTGTCACACACATACACGTGCTTTTGTTTTTGTTGTGCCATTTGGTTGCTTGGTTTCTATGTCAACACAGAAATTGACCTTGAAGTTGAAAAAGCCAGCTGAAAGAAGGTGGGGGAACTGTGGTTCAGAGGGAGACGGGGAGAGTGGGAAAGAGCAGGGCAGGCAGGTTGCTACGCCTTTACTTTTATTAAAAACTTTGTTGCCTAAAAAATATGAAAAGAAACAGCTGATTGCAAGCAACTCTCTTTGTCTCCTTCAATCTCTTTTTGGCACCTGCAATTCGAGTGCACTTAAAGAGAGCGATAGAGAGAGTAAGCACCAAAGAGTAAAATTGTTTTCTCTCTTTTTGGCGGTGATCACAACAACTTGCCAGTACCCTATAAATTTTAATAAACGTTAATAAAATAGCTTCAATTATCTTTTGAAAAATATTTTCAAAATATATTATTTAATGGCAATAAATTCTTTTCTATTTAATTATTTCTTTCTTTCATTTTGCATTTGATTTGAATAGCTTTCGAATAGGGTATCAAAAATTCAACATTGCCCTACATTTCCTATTGCATTTGCATAAAATTTCAATTTGGATTTCGGTTTTCACATCTTAAGTTCACACACAACAATACTACGCAACACGTTGGATGATGTTGCTTGCCAGCGTTTGGGTGTTTTTTTTTTTATTATTTTGTTTTCCCATGTATATTTTATCTTGTTTCACTGTTTGTACTCGCTTTTCCGTTTTCCGTGCTTTTGTGCAATATGCGCTGCGATGATGATGTGTTTCTGTGTTGCCGCTTTTGTAGCAGTGTGTTGCCACTTCTAAATATACTCCCAAAGCCATGCACGATTTATAAATGCGTTTAAAAATAGAACGGCAAAGCAGCGCAGCAAGCAGCAAGCAGCGCAGCAGGTCATGGCCTGTTCAGTTAGATATGCACCGCCAAACACACTCACACACATGTACTGCCACAGATGGGCGCAAAAGAATAGTGCTAATAGTTCTATGATTAAATAACTATGCAATAACATCGTAAATAGTTTAAAAAATCGGTTTTAAGAAATTCTAAAATGTATTGCCAGTTCTAAATAGTTAAATGCAAAAATCTTTAACTTATAATTCCAGTAAAATATATGTCTTACATTTCTTCAACAGTTAAATAGTAAATTCTATTAAAATTAATATTAACAACCTCATATATTTTGACCCTAACTGTATGTACATTTATGTATTCATACATACAATATGTACTTACACATATCCAACTTATGCACATGCGTTTGTGCTTTTGTTTTATTGCTGCTTTGGGCTTTGCTCTTTGTTGTTCTATTTTTAGCCTCATAGCCACATAGCCCAATATTCCAATTGGAATCAATTCTAGACCAAAAACTCGACTTTGCTGATTAGATCAGCGCGGCGAAGAGAGAGAGAGAGGGAGAGAGGCATAATATTGGGAGAGCGCCCGTGGAGAGGCAAGAGACATCATTACTAATTGGACTTTTCGGTTAGTCATACTGTAGGTGTTGTTGTTGTTGTTGCTCTGAATTTTTATTGGCGCGCAATTAGTCCAGGCAAAGAGAGTGAGAGAGTAACAAAATATTTATCAATGAAACAATTTTTCAAACCGATTTTCAGCTAGCCCTCTATTAGTGGCGGAATTTTCATCATCATTTTCCTTTTTGGCAGCAAATCAAATTAGTTGAGCGGTGCTAAAATACAGAGCGCGCAAGGGAAGCAGAGAGTGAGTGAGTGGAATATACAAAGAGTGATAAAGTAAGCGAGTGAGCGAGGGAGAGGAGAAGACGAAGACAGGTTGATGGGTTGTCACGTGCGACAAAAAGAGAAGAAGAAGGAGGAGACGCCAAGAGGAAATCGTTGTAAACGCTGTTAACTTGTACTGTACAAGCAGTGCTGCCAACTTTTGACCAACAAAAAAAGCTGTTTTTGACGGGAGAAGTGAAAAAAAAAGCTTAAAAAATTTATAAAAAAAATCCAAAAAAAGGCTGAAACAAATCTATAAAAATAGAAAAAATGTCAAAAATATAACAATTTAATAAGTTCATTTTTGTTCAAAAGATTTCCATAATTTGATCAATTTCTTCATGGTCTTCCTTATTTTCGTAAGACCTAATAGTTCCTATAATCTGCAGATATTTGATTGGCACTGCATAGTCGACGCAGCATTTCCCGACCCTTCGCAATCTGTTTCTGTATATTAAAATAAAAATGAATATAAATAGAAATGAATATCTTTTGCTTGCACAAGTATGCTTCTTTGTTGCAGCGTGAGCTCGCAGATCACTAAGTTTAGCTGTAGTCTTGCAATAGTTGCAATAAACCCTTTGCAGGTCTGTGTCATCCCTGCGAATCCATGCCTTAAATTCATCACTTTTAAGCCAGACATCGCGGCATTTTTGTTTATACTCCTTCGGCATTTTAGAACTTGCTAACAATTTACGCGCACTTTTTATATAGAGATGGAAACACTAAGCGAGTTATGACATTAGCGTATATCAATTAAACCAAACGATACGTCGCTACATTATCTGGTTTGTTTGTAAAGCTAATTTTTTAGCTGCCACTTTTTCATATTTTGTATTTAAGTTTTAACAACACAAAAAAAATCGGGAAAAAGCCAATTCAATTTCCAAAAAAGCCAGAATTCCCGCTTTTCACAATTCCCGCAATTCACAAATTTTTCCAGCAGTTAGCCTTTAAAAAAAGCCAGTTTTGACGGAAAAAAATCCAAATTGGCAGCACTGTGTACAAGGTTACTTAAAATAGTCAACTTAAAATAGGCAGTGTACACTTGAAGAAACTAATTGTATATTTATAATTAATGATTAATTCTTGACATTGTGAAATTTTATATAAAATTTTGATAAGATTTCTATCTGTAGCAAGCACAGTTTTAAAGTTTGAGAACTCGAAATCTTTATATCTTTTTTTGACGTGGTTTTACCCTCCCCAAAAAGTAGGCAATGGTTTTATTTGTTCTAAGCTGCAGTTTATAAGTTGTTCGTGTATTTTCCCATTATATTTTTTCCCTATGCACTGTACACATACACGCACAGACCATTGAGGTCCAACTAAATACGTTTTAGATTTATTTTTAAAAGCGTCTGATAAGCGCGGCCTTATCTAAATAATCAGGCAAGAGAGAGAGAGACAGAGAGCGAGAGCGGGAGGGGTAATGAAGGTGTGTGGCCCGTGTCACACCTCCTCAATGCTCGCTCTGGCTCCCTTACTCTCTTGATTCCGTATTCCATATACAATTATATATATGTATTTGTATAGATATGAAACGTTTCAATTTCGCTCGCTCAATTTTATGTTTACATTGTCAATTCGCAGATCTGCCATCAGAAGCCGGAAGCGATGAGCGATTGCTGCACATAACGCCAGGCACACTGACATTGGACTTTAAGCCCCATCCAGCGGTGGATATCAATCAGCAGATCATGGAGGTGAGTTCTACTCTATATCTCTATGATGTTTGATAAAATACCAAAATAATCACTGGGATTGTCACATAGTTGTTAAGATTGTCCATCAGATTTGATCAGAATATTATAATAGATGAGAAAACGCCAAGTGTAATCAATTTAGCGACGATTTGTTAATCGATTATGTTTTTCCCCAATTCCATTCCATTCGAAATCTTGTGTAAATGAAATTAATGACAGTGAATGAGTCATATTGTATATTCAATGTTGTTTATCATTAACAACCAAGTCGATCTAGACATGTCTGTCTGTCTGCCCGCTTTTGCAAAGTAGACTTTTATCTATTACAGGTAGTATATTGAAATCGGAACAGGTTAAATCGAAAGACTTTGGTGTATACTTGCTATAAGAAGTCATTCAATCGATAAAAAAAAACAAAAAAAGATCATGAATATAAAGAAAGTTCAATGTTCTTACACTCTAATATTTAAGATTTTCTTCTTATCGAAATGGATATATATTCAATAATATAAATGCAAACTTTAAGGGTATACTAAATTTAAAATACCGAAGGGATTACTTACTTTCTTGTTCATTTAAATGATTTACAAGTAAACCTATAGTAAATTCCATAGTTATCAAGTTAAGAAGTTGCTAGAAATGGAAATAAGGCTTAGGAAATCTCTTCTAATGTTTAATCTTATTATCCCATTGATAATCATCAATTTAAATTAAGATAAACTATAATTAAAAGTCAAATATTGCTATATTCAAATCCTATATATAATATAGTGTATCTAAATTAACATTTCTGCAGAAAGTCTATAGTTTATAAGAAATGTTGAAAAAATAACTTGACTGGTTATGATAGTTATTCCATTGCCAGTTAGAGCACCTTTTCAATCTAAATACTTAGATATCGAACGTTTTTAATAATGTAAATTTAATTAGTAAAAATTATATTCCAAATTTCAAGTTGAAGTTGTTAAAAACCAGCTCTCTGCATAATTTTCATTAACCTTTAACCATTGCCGGATAGCTTTGCGTCCAGTTCCTCCAGCTGGTTGCCTATTTTCCTTCCCGTTTCTGGTCTGTTCTATGTGGCTGTTGTTTTATTTTTGTTGAGCTTTTTTCGCTTTCCGCTTTATTTATACTTTATTCGCCTGGTTCTTCTGGCTCCTGCTCCGAGCCATGCCCATGCCCGTGTCCATGCCCATTTCCCATTGCCCATTGCCCATTGCCCATGCTCTCCTCCACAGCCGCATGTGTGCGTCCGATGGCGATGCTGCGGCTCCTCTCGTTGAGAGTCTAAATTTAAACGCGTGTACAACTTAATGATTCTATATTTATTGTTTTCACTACGAAAATATGTATGAGTTTTTGCGCATTTTTTAAATAAAATCCTCTAAAAATAGACGGAAACCGAGTCAAGAGAGCCGCACAGCGAGCGAGAAAAGTCTGAGCGATGGGATGTGAAGGTCCCGATGCCTATGATGGACATGCTCTGAAGTAGATGTTGCACATAATATTCCATAGTAATGATATTGATACTGATTTTATAATTAATTGGATGTCGGACTTGGGGAACTATTTTTTCTATTCTATTATATTTATTCCATCGAAACAAGTAGATAGTTTATCTCTAATAATTTATATAAAATGAATGAGTTTAATCGATTTTAATATAAATTACTTTTTTGGTATGTTTTAATTTTATTTTTATATATTTTGTTTCCACGCTAAAATTGTATTGATAATTATTGATTTATAGTTCCATATTTGCGGTATTATTTGTAGAATTTAAAGGCTTGTACCAGATTTATCAAAATATTTCAAATGTAAAAAATTAATACATACCCTGCAAGGGTATACATTGCAGGGTATTATAACTTTAGTCAGAAGCTTGTAATTATATGAAGAAGCCATTTCTGACCCTATAAATTATATATATTCTTGATCAGCATCAAAAGGGGAATCTTTCTAGATATCTCCGGCAGAAAAAAAATGTTTTCAAAAATTTTAAATTTTTTTTTCCAAAAAAGGAAAGGGGTTACATCGTTAAAATTGTCAAAAATTCGAAAATTTTTAAATTTTAAATTGAGTATGCAGATTTATTAACCTGATAAAAACTAACATAGAAAAGCTTTCGAAAATAAAATTAATGAATTTTTGCCTGAGATATGGGATTTTTAAACTTTGATTTTTTGATAAAATTGTCGTATTAAAATATCAATGATTTAAAAAATACGAAAATTTTAAGCTTAGTTATGATCGATTTCTAATTTGATTCTGATAATCTCCAAGTTCCTAAACTTAGTTTAATTTTTTGTTCCTTTTTTATTTAATTATAAACTATATGCTTTCCATAAAACATTCTAAGATGTAATTAATGCATTTTTGCCTTAGCTAAGATTTATTTTAATTCCTTGATTAATTTGCATACTGCAAAGGGTATACAACTCTCGGCTTTCCTAAGTGAGTTTTCTTTCTTGTGAAAATGTTTAAAGTCACCTCCTTAGAAATCTCCTAGGATTTCCGCCCTGTATGGCTTTCGATTTCTGTTGTTCTCTCCCAATCACTCTTATTGTGTGTCCACTGTAGCTGGGGCATATGATGGCCAGCATGTGCATTTGGCCCACCTGCTTGAGAGTGCCCCCCTTTCCCCAACGACGCCCCTGGTCTTTGTGCAGCATCTTGGTCTTGTTGTTCCTTGTATTTCTGGTGCTGGTTGCATTCAATTTATAGTCTCGGGGATTTATTTATGCCTCGATTTTTGGCTGCAGTTTGCCTTCTTATTTTTGTCGAGTTTTTCTCTCTCATCATTGGCTTTTCTTGGTTGCTGTTTCGTCGCATTTCGTTTGTTTTGTTTTCGTTTGAAAATTTTTATTTTTAGGGTTAAAGAGTGTTTTATATGCGGCCCAATGGTCTTCTTGTTTTGTTATTTTTTTTTTTGCCACGCCCCACCGCCCACTGTCCCACCCATCACCCAACGCGCCGGGCTACACAGAGAGAAATTAATTAAGGGGTAGTATAATTGTATACGTTATACATTTTGTGTATGGAATACCCTATGACAAGCAATACTTTAGCTAAAATAATCTTAATTAAAATCTGTGCTAAAGTAACTGAAAAGGTATAAAATATTATGTATGTATTTATATAAATTGATATCTTCGAAAACTTAAATATACAATTTAGGAAGATATTTATTGTAAATATTAGAATATAATATTGCTAGCTTCTATCTCTATTCCGCTCGCACTTATCTCAAATGGCTAATCAAGGTTTCGAACTGTGGTTTTGGACTAAGGCAATACGATATTAAACTTTTTCGAATGTAGATTTATTAATTTTTCGCTAATTTATTAGTTATTTTATTATTAATTTATATATTTTCCTTGAAGTCTATTGATTGTAACTCTTACTTGTTTTCTTCTGTTAAAAATATAGACAAAGATGGACATATCACAAGACAAACGTATTAAACTAATTAAACTTAAAACCTTTTTACTATTTAGGATAATAAATATTAAGTGAAAATAGAAAACGATCACTACTTTTTCTGCTGTGTATCTTGCCCATTTTCCATTTACATCCCATTTGAGTTGCCTTCGTTTTTCATCATCAACGCGTTTGCCGTTTTTGTTATTTTCAGTTTTTCCTTTGAATTTATTTTGGTTCTTTTATAAACTCTGCGGGTTATATTTTTAAAATACACACAAATACACACGCACACATTTGGCTGGTTAGATCACGCATACAATAACAACAATTGCCAATCAGTGAAAATGTTTTATAGAATTCCGCCATCTATTTTCTTTCAGTATTTTGTGTTCTGTTTTGTTTTTACATTTTCTATTTTCTAATTTCTAAATGTTCTTGTTTTTGTTCTTGTTCTGTATTTTATTTTTGTGGTTTCGTGGCACGAGCAAAATGCAAATTAGCAAAAATTGATGGTAGAGTGGGTGGTGGTGGTGGGAGAGAGGGCGGTTTGACAAGATCTTAATGAAGATGATCATTGATCTTTGATCTTCGCCCACAAATTAGGCAAGAATAGCGAATGGCAAAAGCATTGGAATTTGGTTGGTAAATTAGGAAAACGACTTTTGGTATACTAAAGTATTATCCATGGATATTAAAAAAAAAGATCTTTGATCAGATTTCAAAGCTATATTGAAAGCTATCATAACAAGGATCTATAACTGTCCGAAACTCAATGGGAAAAATATAGAAAATGTATTGCTTTTTTGTATGGAGACCTGTACAAATCTTTATTAAATCTGTAGCTTTAATTGCAATTTGATTAATAATTGTGTTATTATTTTCTCTGATTAATACTTGTGAAAGCAAGACTTTAATCCTAAGATGAAAATATCTAAAGCTCACATGAATTTATTTGAAATCCCCCAAACTGTTTAGGTACCCATACCTTTGAGAATTTCTATTTGTTATTCCTGCAATTATTTAATAGAAAAAAAACAAGCGCTTATACAGGCTTAAAATAGATCAAGCTGGAATCGATTATCGATCGATTCACTGTATTTATTTTCTTAGCAATTTCCGGAAATACCTTGCTCGCTTCTCGTCATCTTTGAGCATTTTTCCGCTATTAATTTCATTTATCTGTGACTCCACCTCCGCTCCCTTTCCTTATTTATTTATTAATTATTGTTTAACCCGCTCCGATCTGCGCAGTGCTTCTATTTATATGGGCGTGTCTGTGTGTTGTCTTCTGCCCCGCTATAATTATAGCGCAGGTATTTATAATTATACCACTGGCCATAGCAACTGGCGAATATATGTATATATAATGTTGTGCAAGCTGCAGGGGGTGGTGGTGGGTGTTTCTGGGTGGGGAGTGGGTTGGTGTGGTGTGTGGTGGTGTGTGGACTGCAGTTTTCTAGGAATCGAAGTGATGCGATGTATGGGAAAAGTTTCCTTTTAAATTTTAGCGCGACGAATTGGCTTTATTTAATGTTATGAGTAGTTCGATATACATTTTGTTTTCGATTATATCGATAACGTTTTACAAAACTATTGAAAGTTATAGAGATCATAATATCGAAATCGATTGTTTTATTAATGTTATCAGTAGCTCGATGTATATATATTTTTATCAAAAATAACGATTACCTTTTCAAAAGCAATCGAATCTATGGATCATAAAAACAATATGATAATGCTTTTTTGATCATAATGATTACGTTTTCAAAATCAATCTTAACTATCTAAACTATTCTATTGATGTTATAAGTAGGTTGATCTATATTTTATCAATAATAACAATTACTTCTTTAAATGAAGTTAAAACTATCAAAAGTTTCACAGATCAAAAGATTGATTTGATATTAAATAGTGATCGAAGCAACAATTATTTGCTTTTCTTTATGCTTTTTCTTTTCTTAATTTTTGAATAATTGAAAAATGTATTTTTATTAACAAGAAAATCCTAATGTTGTGTATGCTTTTTGATGAGTTTTTTGAGATTTATTTTACTGATTTTAATCCACATTAATCAGATCTCGAACCCATGTAAGATGCAATTGTTGATGCTGCTGCGGATGTATCTCTATCTCATGAAGACCGCCCATTTGTCTGCCCAAATCTTCTCCTATTCTCTCTCTCTCTCGCCAAGTTCTATCTTTCTCCACCTCTCTTCCGCTTTGATCGCTCTTTCTTAGTTTTTCCGCTGCGCCGTCGTAACTGTTTCGAAATTCGTGTTTTTATATTCGATTTTTTTCGCCAGTTGGGCCAGTCGGCCGAGTGAAACTGAAATGAAAGCGCCACATTTCCCCCATTCTCCTCATTTCCCAGCAGCGAATGTCGATGCCAAAGCGGAATAGCGGATAGCAAATAGGAAATGGGAAACAAAACAACAGCGGAGAATTGAAAACCATAACACCACTCAACGAAAACCAAACACGCAGTTTTTCGAAAAATTCCACGCGAATATCCATGAAAGTGTGCCTCTTCTACTTGGGCAAAAGTCTATAAAAGAAAATACAAATACGAAAATCACACACCTCCGTGGAAACTAACATCGAGAGAACAAAGAAATCGGAAGAATTATTCTTGATTGAGTGAAGTGAGTGAAAGAACGAAGGAAGTATCTTCCCCAAATCGAAATCTAAAACGACAAAAAAAGAAAAACAAATCAAAATATAAACAAGTTGTGTGTGTAAATAATATAATATAAATATAAATGAACGCGTGGGGGCGATGGTGGTGACACCAACACACTAAAAACCGAGAAGGAAAACTCATATGAGAGAGAGGGGAAGGTCATGGGGAAATTCGCAAAAGATGACAAATAGAAAGTGTGGTTGGAATCAGGAAAATTAGGAAAACAGAGGGAGAAGAACCAGACACACCGAAAATAATATTATATTATATGACTTATGGATCAATAGACGACGGATTTTGTTTTTCCATTTTCCATTTTAAAGTATAATAAATATAGGTTCAGAAATATTTTCTAGACTTCTGGGAATTTCCGATTAGTCATAAATTGAATTTTTAAACTAAAAGATCAATGCAATCAAAGAATATTCCTATAGATCCTGATCTTATGTTATTATCCCAAAAATATCTACCAACTAACTCATTCTCTTGACGCTTGCTTTCAGTTATATATAAAAGAAAATCTTATTTTTGACATTTATCAATGTGTTAGCATTTATTAAAATGAATATGTTTTATATTTTATTATGTTTTCAACATTCTTGTATCGCCCCATTAATGAGTTGTTCAAAATTTAGCAAATGGACACTTATATTATATAAAATTTGTTATATTTTCAAGAGGCAGAAGGAGATATTTATGATTATATAGATAGAGGAGTAAGTAAGAAAATTTAGAGACTATAATACCTAGAATTACCAATTTTGATGACTACATACTTAAAGGTTCAAAGCATATCAAGATTGTGTTAACAGAAATATAATAAATTATAATATAGAAATAATAACAACAAAATAGTGACCATTGGGGGCTATATCTATCTCGCTTGTACTTGTCTTGGCTAAGTAGCGGGTTTGAGTCTCTACTGCAGCTTCTTTACTTGATTGCAGGGTATTATCATTTCAGTTAGAACCATAAAACGCAGTGAAGGAATCATTTCCGACCCTATAAATCATATATATTCTTGATCAGCATTAACAACCGTTTCGATATAGCCATGTTTTAAGGAAACAAAATTTTCCCCAATTTTTTTTTTAATTTTATAAGGGGTTATATCGCTTAAAAAGTTGGCAAAAATTTGAATTTTTTAAATTTCAAATTGAGTATGCGGATTTATTAACCTTTTAAAAACTAACTTAGGAAAGCTTTTCTTATTGAAATTAAAGCATTTTTAAGTGAGATATGATGGATTTTCTCTGCAAGGGTATAGAAACATCGGGTTTCTTAATTAAGCTTCATATCCTGTTCATTTTTCCTTACTTTGTTTAAAAAAATGAATTTAAACTTCAAGTCAGGGGGATTCCCAGTTTTATACTTTCCCAATTATGTTTATGCGTTTTTTAGATAACAGAAATTGATAACCGATAAGTCTTACTGCTATTTTTATTTATTTTACCTTAAGTAATTTATTCAAAACACTTTTTTCTGATTATTTGCAGCTCAAGAAGAGCCAGGAGCTTCAAAAGCAGCGGCTTTTCCACACGTTCCAGGAGCAATCGAAGCAAATGGAACTGGAGCACAAACTCCAGCTGGAGCACAAGTATCAAGTGAGTAGATGACACTGGCCAGGCCTCTTCTAAAATTGTATCTTCTGGTTGTTGTTGCTGCTGATGTTGTTTTTAATTCTCTTTAATTTCTGGCCACAAAAATAATAATAATAATGACGGCGAGACGATGATGTGAATGATGTGGCGGCTTTGTGTGGGCAGACAGAAATCGAAAATAAAAACAAACCAAAGAAACAGCCAAGAAGTAGAAGAGAATTGAAATGGAATGAAATTATAAATATACATATATAAAATAATATAATATAATATTATCGTGCCGGAAGTGTCTCGGAACTGAGCACTGAACTGTCCGATGCCCGATGACTTAGGCCGAGTGTCGTTAACGCTTCCATCTATTATATTCCAGAAAAATGTATCATTAAAGCCAACAGAATCTAGTCTTACCTAGTCTTATGTGTTCACAAATGTGGCAGAATAGACACTTGAATTCGGGTTAATATAAGTGCAAAAATTGATTTCCTTGTTGGTTTATAAGATATTAAAAGGGGACACTATTAAAAGCAACAGCAGAAACAACCGCAGATAGACAACAAACAATTATGCATTTAATTTCTTTTACTTCCCACAAAAAAAAAGCTTAAGAAAAAACCAACAAACAAACAAACAAATATCTCTCGAATTTATTGTAATTATTTAGTTTGCGGTGAATTCACATGGCGCTTTCCAGGAATTGCGGGATCAGACCATGGTAACCGCCGCCGCTGCCGCTGCTGCAGTGGCCGAAGAGCAACATCGCCATCAGCAGCAGCAGCAGCAGCAGCAGCAGCAGCAACATCAACAGCAGCAGCAACATCAACAGCAGCAGCAGCAGCAGCAACGCGAACAGCAGCAACAACGCGATCGCAGGGAACGGGAAGTGATGAAGCGCAAGGAGAACTGCAGCGCCAATGCCAGTCCCGAGGTCAAACAGATTCTCAATGTAAGTCCTGACCTCATCCTCCCCAAGAACCAATTGCACAGCTCCAATTCTTCTACTCCTTTGGCAGTGCTTCATCATGAGTCGCAAGTCACAGGCGGCGGCATCCAATGGCACAACGACAACTTCTCCCTATAGGAATCGGTAAGAGTATTGAAATTTTTCAATTGTTTATAATATTTACTAATTTGAGTTACTTCCTTTGCAATTGCAGCGGTGTGGTGAAGAGCTCCTCGGGCGAATCGCTACCAGCCGGAACCGTGACCAGTGCGCATCCGTACAAAATACCTCAGCCGCCCTCCTCACTGCTCAAATATGAATCTGATTTTCCGCTGAGGAAGACAGGTGAGTGGCCGGCCTTTACTTTGCTTTTGTTGCCCTTGAATAGGAAATGTGATGCCGCCGGTTGCCAGCAGGTGGTCATGACCATGGACTCCCAGTGCCTGAGTTTTGCATTTTTTGCGCCTTTTTTTTGTTGCCTGCCACGCTCAGATGTTGCTCCCGATTTATTGTCTAACCACAGATTGTTGAATGCACTAAAAAATCTAGAAAGAAATTAAAAAAGGGGGGAATTTGGTTGTTGGATAAGTTGTACTGTACGTAAGGTGCTTAAGTAAGCATTCGGTTGTATATATAGATTGTTTAATAGGGGTTTATTTTTTATGTAGGTAAGACTTTTGTTCAGGTTAAGGTCACTTACGAAACTCTTGAATTGGGATGTTAGTTAACAACAAAATACTGATAGATAGTCAAGGTATAAATAGTAAACGTAATGAGTTATTTTTAGTATTTGTAATATCTATAAAGTCATATAAATAACTGAAAGTAAAATAGGAAACCAAGCTTTAAAAGAGTTGTAAAGTCTAAATTAACCCATAGACAGTTGTTATTTTCCTTAAAGACTTTGTAGTTAAATATATTGTTTATTTAACAAATTTACTTTAGTGGCAAAAAGAATGATGATTGATTTTAATGGGAAAGAATTATAGAATGTAGAAAGTAAGGGCATGAAGTCTACTAACAAATGCTAGATTTGTTGACTAGTCTCGCTTAAATCTTTGCTAAGTCTTAACTCTAACCCCGTTGAAACTAACCCTTTGTCCAACATCCTTGTGTGCATCGCTCTTGATATAGCATCCGAACCGAACCTGCTGAAGATCCGGCTGAAGCAGAGCGTCATCGAGCGCAAGGCCCGCATCGGCGGACCGGCGGGTGCGAGGCGCCACGAGCGCCTCCTCCAAGCGGCACAGCGCAGGCAGCAGAAGAACTCTGTTCTCACAAGTACGTATCGAAATGAATCCAAAGGGTTTATCACTGGGATCAGGGGGATATATATCATTGGGTAGAGAATACAAAAAAAATGGGGTATCATGTAGCCCTATAGTTATTGAACTTTAAAACTTATTTGTTGCTTAGAGTTTATGGAACAAATTCAATTATTTTAACTGATCAGATCTTTAATTTGTTTACTCCAACGGTTTCCTGAAATATTCTTAATTTTCGTTTGCCTTAAATTGATTATTATGTTTCTATTGCTTAATGATGAGTAAATAAATCAAGTAACTAAATAAAGACCAAAATAAGTAAATATTTAATGCAAATAGGGAAGAAAAGTTCCATATAATATATAAAATATAAATCACGCTCAATATTATATAAAAGAATATTATATAAAGATAAATTATATATTAAATAAAGAATGAAACCCCTATATATCCTTGCAGTTAGAATCAGTCAATTAATCAGTTTATTAAATATAGAATGAAGTCAGTAATATTTCATAACTAAGCTTAAAATATTTACATTCTGTGAATAAATATTTATCAAAATTTTTATAAGAAAAATTTGTCGACAAATCAAAGTTTAGAAAACTCAAAGTTCAGCCAAAAAGGCATTAATTTTAATTCGGAAGGCTTTCCTATAGTAGTTTTTCTTATGTTAATAAATCTGAATACTCAATTTCAAGATTTAATATAATCACAATTTTTGTAGATTTTTCCTAATTTTAATGATGTAACCCGTTATTTTTATTATTATTATTATTTTTTTTAATTTCAAAAATTTAGTTTTCCTCCCGACATGGCTAGAAAGATTCGCCTGTTAATGCTGATCAAGAATATATGATTTATAGGGTCGGAAATGAGTCCTTTATATAATTACAAGCTTCTGACTGAAATTATAATACCCTGCAAGGGTATATTTATGTTTTCTTTGAAATACCGAAATTTTAAATATAAAATATATAGCATTATAGATTTTATTAAAGAACAAATATTGTATTTAAATTATATCCTTAATTTTCAACTTTTTGTGTTTGATTTTACAAACAGAATATAAATTTATTGAACAAACATATATCAGAACATTTAAATTTTGATTTGCATATCGAATTTGGGGTCAAAAATCAATAAATCATTCATAAATCTATAATTTCAAACATTTCGAAACAGGGCTACGTAGTGTATACAAAATACTCTTTTATAAAACATTCAAATTGGTAAAAATTTTAATTTAAAATTCATTTTTGTATATTTCTTAATGATGTTGTCTGTTGTTTAATCCTTGTTTTCGCTGTTTTCGCTATTATGGCTGTTGTTTTTACCGCTGTTTCAAATTAACATTACCAAAAACCAATTGCCTTAACTGCCTTAATTAATAATACACTGATTCTGTGACTCCAACTAATTGCATTACCTTCTTTTGCCCCAGACTGCAACAGCACTCCGGACTCGGGACCCAACTCACCGCCCTCGGCCGCTGCCCTCACAGTGGGCGTGGTGGGCAGCCGCGGCTCACCGACCAGTGCTCCGATCCAGGAGGAGAACGAGGAGGGCAGCCAATACCAGCCGGGCCAGAGGAGCAGCATCAACGACCTGCCGCTGTTTAGCTCACCGTCGCTGCCGAATATCTCGCTGGGCAGACCGCATTTACCCAACACGGCGCAGGCGCACGCCCAGGTTAGCGCCCAGGCGCAGGCGCAGGCTCAGGCCCAGGCTCAGGCGCAGGCCGCCCAGGTCAACTATGCAATGTTTGCGGCCCTGCAGCAGCATGTGGCCGCAGCCGGTGGCGGTGGACAGCCGGGTGGCTACTACAGTCCGCTGGGCATGTCGTTCGTAGGTAGACAGCCAGCGCCGCTGGCCATGATTCCGGCCACGGGGATAGCACCGCAGCAACCGTCACCGGTGGTGCGCAGCGCCTCGGCCACCTCCACTTCATCGTCGCAGGCGTCGCTTGTGGGCGATGTGGCGCCGCCGCAGGCTCATGCCGCCTCCACCATTCTGCCCTCGTCCTCGTCCTACATGCAGCAGTTGGGTGGCGTGGCCGGATCGGCGGTTAATCTCCATGCTGTGGCTGCAGCGGCGGCAGCAGCGGCCGCTGGCTCACTGCCGCCCACCAATAGTCATGGTCATGGCCATGGTCACGGCCACGGACATGGGCACGGACATGGTCATGTCCACGCCCATGGACATGGCCATGCTCTGTACGGAGCCCATCAGCACAATGTACCCATTACGGATGCCCAGGTGGCGCAGGTTCATCTTCACAAGCAGGGACACCGGCCGCTGGGAAGGACGCAATCGGCGCCGTTGCCGCTGGGACATCCGATGCTCACGGGAGCCGGGCAGCTGAATTTGGTGCAGACGCACTACGAGAACAGTGAGGTGAGTGACAGAATGGCATAATTTATAGTTGTTGCTTACCCAATAACATGTTTCCCACTTCTTGTGATTCCCTCAGGCGGAGCGGCAGGCCTACGAGCACCAGGTGCTGAACCAGAAACTCCGCCAGACCGTTCTCACACGCAGCGGAGCAGCGGCTGCCGCGGCTGCTGCTGCCGGAGTGAGCGTTGTGCGGGAGGCGCAGCTGAAGGAGGAGGATGATGACTCGGCCGCCGAGGTAATGGACCTCACCGATAAGAAAAAGCCGCCCAAGACGGTGCTGACAAGCACGATAGCGACCAGCACGTCCCAGAATCTGCCCGAGGCGTTGGCGGCGGCAGCTGCCGCCTACCGCAACCCGCCCTCTACGTCCGTCGCTGCCGCCGTTGCCGCCTCATCCGCCAGTAGCTCCGCAAAGTCCGGGATAAAGCTGCGCGATCAGGAGTACCTGCAGCAGCAGAGAGAACAGTTGCTGCTTCTGCAGCAGGAGGAGGAGCTGGCCAAGGGCTTGTTGCGACCGCTTTCGCGGACACTCAGCAGTCCGCTTGTGCCGCTGGGGCCGCACGGTCTTAGCCAGATTCCGGATACGGGTCAGCAGCCGGCACCGATAGCCACCTCATCGTCGGCCGACCACATACCGCCTGTGAACCTCTCGCTGCCGCATCGTCAACACCGCCAGATGATGAGCACCCTGTACGCCACGCATCTGCGGCAGCACCATCAGCCACTGGCCAGTGGGTCTCCACCGCACAAGGTCACCACGGGCCTGGCGTACGATCCGCTGATGATGAAGCACTCGTGCATCTGCGGCGACAACGCCCAGCATCCGGAGCACAGCGGCCGGTTGCAGAGCGTGTGGGCGCGGCTGAACGAGACGGATCTGGTGAAGCGTTGCGATCGTCTGCGCGCACGCAAGGCCACGCAGGAGGAGCTGCAGACAGTGCATACGGAGGCGCATGCGATGCTCTTCGGATCCAACCAGTGTCAGCTGAGCAGGCCCAAGTTGGAGAACACACTCTCCGCAAGCTTTGTTCGCTTGTCGTGCGGTGGCCTGGGCGTTGATTTGGATACGACGTGGAATGAGAACCATACGGCCACCGCTGCTCGAATGGCTGCCGGCTGTGTGATCGATTTGGCCTTCAAGACGGCCAAGGGGGATTTGCGGAACGGTTTCGCGGTGGTCCGACCGCCTGGTCATCATGCTGAGGCAAACCTGGCCATGGGTTTCTGTTTCTTCAACTCGATTGCCATTGCGGCCAAGTTACTGCGCCAGCGGATGCCCGAGATGCGGCGTATTCTCATCGTCGATTGGGTGAGTGTGCCAGATGATTCTCTTGTCTTTGCCTCTGTCTCAAAGAAATTAAATTAAGTTTTGAAACAATTTAAATCAGTGGTAGTCATGGATATATCCGTGACCATACGTTAGAGTGCTATCCATTTCCACAAATGGATATAATCCATTGTTTATCTATTCCGTTTTTCACTTAATTATTTATGTATTGTATTGTCTACTAACTTTGTTCAGTTGTTTACTCACAGGCTCATTTAGATAATAGCTCCATAGCCATGAAATATAATCACCTTTTCAACTTTTACATGTACAAATAATAAAAATTAATACAATCTTTTCCCTTTTTACAGGATGTGCATCATGGCAATGGCACACAGCAAGCATTCTACCAAAGTCCCGACATTCTATATCTTTCCATACATCGACACGATGACGGCAACTTTTTCCCCGGCACAGGCGGACCCACAGAGGTAAGTTTTTCCCCGATTCTTCTTGTTCTCAACGTTTGGATAACCTTATTTTTCCCATTACAGTGCGGATCCGGTGCCGGTCTCGGCTTCAACGTGAACATCTCATGGTCTGGGGCACTGAATCCACCCCTGGGCGATGCCGAATATATCGCTGCATTCCGTACCGTTGTGATGCCCATCGCGAGGAGCTTTAATCCTGACATTGTGCTGGTCTCCTCGGGCTTCGATGCGGCCACCGGCCATCCGGCTCCGTTGGGAGGTTACCATGTTTCGCCTGCCTGCTTTGGTTTTATGACCCGCGAACTCCTTCAGCTGGCCAACGGCAAGGTGGTGCTTGCCCTCGAGGGTGGCTATGATTTGGCCGCCATCTGTGATTCCGCCCAGGAGTGTGTGCGAGCGCTGCTCGGTGATCCAGCCGCTCCGATAGCCAAGGCCGAGTTGGAACGGCCGCCCTGCCAGAATGCCATCAATACGCTCCAGAAGACGATAGCCATTCAGGTGGGTTTCGATCTCATCCAGGCTCTTTTCTCGTTCTCTCCCTCTAACTCTGTTTCCTCTCTATCTGATCCACAGCAAACGCACTGGCCATGTGTGCGGATGCTGGAGCATACGGTGGGTCTGTCCGCTCTCGAAACGCTCAAGGTGGAGCATGATGAGTCCGAGACGATCAATGCCATGGCCGGCCTCTCGATGCAGTCGATGCACAGGTGAGTTTTGGTCACATATTTTCCTTGTATACACAATATATTAGATGGGTAATATTCTTGTAGAACCCTTTCACGCGATGATTCCGAGGAGCCGATGGATCAGGATGAAACCAAATAGACGGCAATGCAGGCAGTGGCATAGGCAGCGGCAGGGAATCTGGAGATCTGGAGGCAGTGGGTCTAGTTTGGGGATAGCTAGGGATTGGGGATAGCTGCTCAATGCACATATTTAGTTATATTTGTTGTAGTTGAATTGATTGTTGTTGCTGTTGTTGTTGTGGCGCTCGCTTGCAAATTTGTTGTCGTTGTCAATCATCGTCTATAGCCAAGTCCCATCTCGCTGGAGCTCGTTCTCGCTATCTCTTTCTAGTCTTTATAGTGACCTTTATAAGACCTTTTATTTTTATTACTCTTTTTTTTTTTTGCTAGGAAACATCGAAGGGGTATAGAGGGTGAAAAGAAAAGTTAGAAGCAGAACAGGGCCTAAAGTTCAAAATGGTGGCTGTGCCTCCAAAAAGAAAGAAATCTTATAATAATAATAACTAGAGGGAGAAGAAACCAATAAAATCTTGGGAATTTTATATGAATATATAGAATATATGTATAATGTATGATCTATGATATATGATCTTTGATCTATGATTATTATATGTAGAAAATGTATGTTGAGAATTTAGTTTGTAGAATTCTTTGAGAGATGTTTTTGTTTTTTTTTTTCTTTCTTTCTGAAGAGGATAATCGCACACGCACACAGCTAACTCACTGTAAATGTATATGTCTATGTGTAATGGCAACACAGAGATCCTGTGCGTTTCTTCTAAAGAATCCCTTCCCCCTAAAGAATACCACGCCCACAGAGAGACAGGAAGAGAACGAGGGCGAGAACTCAAGCGATAGAGATAGGATTACATGTTATGTAGAATGCTTTAGCTGATAAACGAGGAATATAAGAGAAGTGAACAGGAGTAGAAGAGAATGGGGGAGAGAGCTGAACAAGTAACAACATGAATAGGAAAAGTTCTGACAAGCGGAAACTGAGAAATCTTTTTTGTACAATTTATAGTTTAGTGCAAGTTTCAAGTACAACATAATATTATTTAATTAAAAAAAGTCTATATATATCTAAATATATATAAATATATTGTGCAATAAATGTGAGAAGAATGTAAATCGAGTGCAGAGCAAAAGCGAAAACACAAAAAGCCACAAAATAAGTGAAAGCAAAAAAGCAAAAACATAAACCTAACGTAAACAAACTGAAACTAAAAACTACAACTAAAAACTAAAAAACTAAACACTAAACACTAAAAGCTAAAACGAATAAGTAAAGAATTGTTGTTAAATGTTGCCGAGATCTTATATACGTATGTATACCTAATAATTGTTACAATAATACCCAATATTATAATAAATGCACATATGTATGTATGTGGCCGTAAAAATAACGATAACGATGTTCAACAAATGTCTGAAATGAAGTAAAACTATTATTATATGTAAATAAAACACGGAGCAACGTGAACCATTTTAATAAAAAACAAAAGAAACAAAAGCAAACACACATTAAACACACTCACGCTCATATACAGCCTGGGCAGGACCCGAAAAGGCGCGAGAATGGGGAAATATCGATTGAAATATCTGTTAAAAATCTAAAGAAAATCTAAAGAAAATCTAAAAAAAATAATACCTAAAAGAAAAGAAAAGTTTATTAAGCTGTTAGCCGCTGTAATTGTGTTTGTACTCGTGTACCTTTAGCTATCTAAGGCCATCTCTGTCTAACTCGCTACCTGTACCACGAATGATCACTTTTAAAGGACGATGGAAGATGGAGCCAGGAGCACGGCAGGATAGGGGAAGAAGAAGGAGAAGACGAACAACGAGAGATGGATACGGATGCGATCCAACTGGAAGAAACCATTGTTAACAAATCGAAACAGAAACAGAAAAAAAAACAACTTAAAACTAAACAAAGGATGATGAAAACTAAGAGATACCGAAGAAAATGTAACTATTATTGCTAAGCGAAGGACAGTTGACATTGCCAGAAGGAGAGTTGTCCCTCCATAATTGCCCTTTTGTTTACATTTGGTTTGTTTTTTGAAAGATGCCTCTCCCGAGGTTATTTATGATCACAAAATACTATATAATTTCGACATAAATCAAGCAGACAAAAAATATAAAAAACCCAAAGAAATGATGTTCTACAAAGACAAAAATGATAAAAACAGTTAATGATAAATATTGTTGTTGCACACTGCAAAAAAAAATTATAATAATCATATAAAGCAGATAAAAACGATTTTAGCGAATGAAAACAAAATCAAATATTTATATTTTGTTTAATATTGCACAAACAAAGTCCAGAAAACAGAAACAATTAAGAGTACTAATGTGTGTCGCTTTTTCTAAACGAAATAAAACGAAGGAAATCGTCAAATCGTACTTGTATTTTTATTAATTTATATTGTTTATGTTTACGTTCGCTTCTTATCGCCGCTGACCCAGATAAGAACCGGCAGAGCCAGCCGGTGGACAGGTCCTCTTTGGAGCGGGATCGCACTTTGTTCCTTCTCGACATGAGGGGTGGACCTATATGTATTCGGTATGTATCTGTATATTTAAATCTTTTAATTACTTTACTAAAAATAATGATACATGAATAACTATGCAGAGGTACAGAGCCATAAAAATATTCGAACTATCAGCTTACACCTTTTATTTGCATTTGTGTTTGAAAAGTAAAACTCATTTTGAAATCAATACTTTCCAGGTTAATATTAATATTTAATATGACGGTAATTTAAATTAATAGTTATACAGTTGAACAGTAATTATTTTCTTTTTGTAGTTTAAGATAAACCAAATAATAATATTATATATTGAAACCTTTTTATACTTTTGCAGGGTATTATTTTTGTAGTCAGAAGCTTGTAATCATATATATTCTTGATGAGGATCAACAGGCGAATCTTAATAGCCATCTCCGGAAAAGTTTTTTTTAATTTTCCATTTTTTGAAAAATGGAAAGGGGTTAAAATTTTTTAAAACGTACAACAATGTCCCATTTTTTTTTAATTTTTAACAAGTATACAGATTAGTTGATCAAATGCAAACGAATACAGGAAAGCTGCCAGAGAAGCTGTTGTTTAATGCAGAGGATCAATAAGTAACTATGATTAGTAAGTATCAATAAACATTAAGTAACTATAATCAGTTATTAACTATGAGCATTAAGTAACTATAAGCAGTAAGTATCTATGACCAGTAAGTAACAATGATCAGTAAGTATCTATGACCAGTAATTATGTATGATCAGTTACTAACTTTAAACACTAGTAAACAATGACTTGCAACTTTTGTAACACAACACATATCTGAGACGTGGCTCGTAGAAGTCACTTCGTTCCGGGGATGTTAGAACCAGTTGGGAATCATATGTACGGATGTACGAGATTTGTTTTGAAACAAATTTAAGCTATTTGAATGAAGCTATGGAGTTATTCTTCTATATAATTTTACTAGTATATAAGTCGAAGAAGGGCGAATCGGTGGACTATATATAAACATATGTATATATAACTGATATAGGAACAATCGGACGAGTTTTAGAACTATGATCAGTAATTATCTATGACCAGTAATTAACTCTGAATAATAAGTACATATCTAAGACCAGTGAGTAACTATGATAAGTAAATATCTCTGACCTGTAGTTAACTATGGGCAATAAGTAACTATGAACAATAAGTATCTATGAGCAATAAGTAACTCTGAACAGTAAGTAACTCTGAACAATATGATATATGATAAGTAAGTATCTATGAACAGTAATTAACTCTGAACAGTAAGTATCTAAGACCAGTGAGTAATTATGATCATTAAGTATCTCTGACCTTTAATTAACTATGGACAATAAGTAACTATGAATAATAAGTATCTATGAGCAATAAGTAACTCTGAACAGTAAGTATCTATGATCAGTAAGTAACTATGATCAGTAAGCATCTATGACTAGTAAGTATCTATGACCAGTTACTAACTTTGAACACTAGTAAACAATGACTTGCAACTTTTGTAACACAACACATTCCTGAGACGTGGCCGGTAGCAGTCACTTCGTTCCAGAGATGTTTGAACCAGTTGGGAATCATATGAAAGGATGTACGAGATTTGTTATGGAACAAATTTAGGCTATTTCATTGAAACTATGGGGTTATTCTTCTATATAATTTTACTAGTATATAAGTCGAAGAAGGGCGAATCGGTGGACTATATATAAACATATATATAGCTGCCATAGGAACAATCGGACGATTTATAAAACTATGATCAGCAATTAACTATGATCAGTATGTTTCTATAAACATTAAGTAACTCTGAGCAGTAAGTATCTATGACCAGTGAATTACTATGATCAGTAATTAAGTATGAGCAGTAAGTAAATCTGAACAGTAAGTATCTATGACCAGTAATTAACTCTGAACACTAAGTATCTAATACAAGTGAGTAACTATGATCAGTAAGCATCTATGACTAGTAAGTATCTATGACCAGTTACTAACTTTGAACACTAGTAAACAATGACTTGCAACTTTTGTAACACAACACATTCCTGAGACGTGGCCGGTAGCAGTCACTTCGTTCCGGAGATGTTTGAACCAGTTGGGAATCATATGAAAGGATGTACGAGATTTGTTATGGAACAAATTTAGGCTATTTCATTGAAACTATGGGGTTATTCTTCTATATAATTTTACTTGTATATAAGTCGAAGAAGGGCGAATCGGTGGACTATATATAAACATATATATAGCTGCCATAGGAACAATCGGACGATTTATAAAACTATGATCAGCAATTAACTATGATCAGTATGTTTCTATAAACATTAAGTAACTCTGAGCAGTAAGTATCTATGACCAGTGAATTACTATGATCAGTAATTAAGTATGAGCAGTAAGTAAATCTGAACAGTAAGTATCTATGACCAGTAATTAACTCTGAACACTAAGTATCTAATACAAGTGAGTAACTATGATCAGTAAGCATCTATGACTAGTAAGTATCTATGACCAGTTACTAACTTTGAACACTAGTAAACAATGACTTGCAACTTTTGTAACACAACACATTCCTGAGACGTGGCCGGTAGCAGTCACTTCGTTCCGGAGATGTTTGAACCAGTTGGGAATCATATGAAAGGATGTACGAGATTTGTTATGGAACAAATTTAGGCTATTTCATTGAAACTATGGGGTTATTCTTCTATATAATTTTACTTGTATATAAGTCGAAGAAGGGCGAATCGGTGGACTATATATAAAAATATATATAGCTGCCATGGGAACAATCGGACGATGTATAAAACTATGATCAGCAATTAACTATGATCGGTATGTTTCTATAAACATTAAGTAACTCTGAACAGTAAGAATCTATGACCAGTGAGTAACTATGATCAATAAGTAGCTATGATCAGTAAGTATCTATGACCAGTAAATTACTATGATCAGTAATTAAGTATGAGCAATAAGTAAATCTGAACAGTAAGTATCTATAACCAGTAATTAACTCTGAACACTAAGTATCTAATACAAGTGAGTAACTATGATCAGTAAGCATCTATGACTAGTAAGTATCTATGACCAGTTACTAACTTTGAACACTAGTAAACAATGACTTGCAACTTTTGTAACACAACACATTCCTGAGACGTGGCCGGTAGCAGTCACTTCGTTCCGGAGATGTTTGAACCAGTTGGGAATCATATGAAAGGATGTACGAGATTTGTTATGGAACAAATTTAGGCTATTTCATTGAAACTATGGGGTTATTCTTCTATATAATTTTACTAGTATATAAGTCGAAGAAGGGCGAATCGGTGGACTATATATAAACATATATATAACTGATATAGGAACAATCGGACGAGTTTTAGAACTATGATCAGTAATTATCTATGATCAGTAATTACCTCTGAACAATAAGTAGCAATAAGAGCAAGCTATTTGAATGAAACTATGGAGTTATTCTTCTAAATAATTTTACTAATATACATATATGTAAGTCGGAGCATGGCGAATCGAATATATATATGTACATATATATTTGCATTTTATATTTTTTCAAAAATAACTATATAAATATTTATCCAAAATGGTAAAAAATTCAAATTTTAATATCTTTAGCTTCCTTCGAAATCAGTTTTAAATAATTTTATGTAGATTTATTTATTATATACATATATATAGCTGCCATAGGAACGATCGGAAAACTTTAAGAAAAAATATTATAACTTTTCCAGTTTTCAATAGACTGTAAATATAAAACGTACAGGCGAATGAAATAGAAGCAGGCATTACATAATTGTTTTTTAACATAAATATATATATATATATATATATATTATAATTAAATTCTGCTGCGATCATATACTTTAATTGCTAACTGCAAGGCTTCCCGATATTAATTTCCTTTCCTTTTTACAATATTTTTAGATAAACTTTTAAATAAAATATAATTCAAATACAGTATCAGGTCCACCCTGATGCAAATATTAATATACTTGCTGAGCAACTTAGTTCAGGAGTGGCAAAGAGCCAAGCGAGGCAGTGCACCCTGACCGAAAGGGGTCTTTTATGTGAGTACTTTTTGGTTTAAAACCTGATTCTTTACTAAATAATTAATAAAATCTTGTAATATTAAAGGGCTTTCCAAAACCAGTTTTCCTGAAATAATTTGGGGGTCTCGAGATTCCCACTTAAGGATGAATGGATCCCCCTTGCGTGACGCCCTTGGCAGTCTCCGGTCTCTTTCTTTATACACCGCTCTGTACACCACAATTGCTGTACATGAGTGTAGATCAGTGCAAGCCCGTTGTTCGGTTGGGCAAGTTGCGAAAAAAATATTTTTAAAACATCACATCAGATTAGCGGCGAGGAAAGCGATCTATCGCCATGTCAGTGAACTCCGATCTGCAGAGGGAGCGGGTGGCGGCCAGCTTGGACAGCGAGGACTTTGCCCTCTGGTGGGCTGGCGGTGCCGCGGAGCTAGCCGAGCGCCGCGCCCTGGAGCGTCGTTTCTACGAGGATCCCGAGCTGGAGGAGTCAGTGCATCCCAGCTGCCTGTCCTACAAGGAGCGCTATGAACAGACCGTGGCCCGGTCCACCCGCTTTCTGGCCAAGCTGCGTCAGTGGCAGCGCGAGAAGCAGCCGCAGCTGAATCTTAGCGTCAGTCTTCTTCGCGATTTTCGGCTGCTCCTCTCCGGTCCCCTGGGCACGGGACTTTTCCAGCAGAGCTTTCCCCTACGGCTGCACTTCTCCATGTTCATGACCACCCTGCTCAGTCAAGGCACCGAGGAGCAGCAGGCCCAGTGGTTGAACCGGGCTTGGCATATGGACGGCGTCATTGGGACCTATGCACAGACAGAGCTGGGTCATGGCACCTTTGTCCGTGGCCTGGAGACCCGGGCAGATTACGATCCGGAGCGGCAGGAGTTTGTCCTGAATACGCCAACGCAGAGCTCGTACAAGTGGTGGCCCGGTGGGTTGGGTAACACGGCCAATCTGATCATTGTGTTGGCCCAACTCTATGTGAAGGGTAAGCATCATGGGCTACAGTCCTTTCTGGTGCGAATCCGTGACGAGAGGACCCACGAACCACTACCCGGTATCGATGTGGGCGACATTGGACCTCGGATGGGCGGCAATGGTGTTAACAATGGATTTCTGGGGCTCCGTGATGTGAGGATTCCGCGCAATCAGATGCTGATGAAGAACGCCCAGGTGCTGGAGGATGGAACCTTCATCCAGGGACGGCCGCCACTGCTCATTTACGGCACCATGGTCTACGTGCGGGTCATAACCCTGAGGGATGTTCTCTTTGGCCTGCTCCAGGCGGCCACCATTGCAACCAGGTAAGCTGGATAGAATTTTACTAAATCCTCCATGCTTCTTATAAGCTTTCCTTTCCCAGATATTCCGTGGTGCGTCGTCAGAGTCCCATTGAGGAGAATCAACCGGAGGTTTCCGTGCTGGATCACATCACGCAGCAGGCCAAGATCCTGCCCCAGATAGCGCGCGGCGTATCCTATCGCTTGGTATCCGACTGGCTGTGGCGGTTCTACGAGGATGTGCTGAAGCAATTGGAGGCCAATAACCCCCGCAACTCCCTACCGGAGCTGCACGCATTGAGCTGCTGCCTCAAGGCGGTGGGCACAGACGAGGCCACCGATGGCGTGGATCGCCTGCGGAAGAGCTGCGGCGGTCATGGATACCTCTCCTCGGCCAACTTTGACAGCATCCATGGCATGACGACGGCAACCTACACGTACGAGGGTGAGTACACGGTGCTTCTCCTTCAGACAGCTCGCTTTCTGGTTCGCCAGTATGTGGACAGTCTGAAGCGAAAGGTCCTGCCGCCCAGCGTCACCTATTTGAGGGACACGACCCGCCTCGTCTGGGGCAAAAGTCTCACCGCCAACTGTGCCCGTGCTTTGGAAATCGCTGCCCTGGAGCAGGTGCGGCAGGCGTGGCAGAGTCAGAGCACCCACCAACGGGGGAAGGTTAGTGCTCAGATGGCCAGCAACCTGGCTGGCAGGCAGCTTACTGCGGCCGCCGTGGCCCATGCCCATGCCTTCTTCACACGCAACGCCCTCGGGGAGCTGGAACGCTTGCGAAAGACAGGAATTTCTGCCGGTGTGTCCACTGTACTGGGACAACTGGTGGAGCTGTTCGTGCTGGACACATTCCTACGCCAGTCGGGCTCTGTTTTGCGCTGGAACAGTATCACAGGCACCCAGCTACGATTGGTGGAGAGTCGCTACGAGGAGCTGTTGTCCAAGCTGCGTCCGAATGCGGTCGCATTGGTCGATGGCTTCGATTTCCACGATCGTGTCTTGGGATCCACGCTGGGCTGCTACGATGGCCGTGTGTACGAGCGACTTATGGAGGAGGCGCGAAAGAATCCGTTGAACCAGGAGCCGGTTAATGCCTCCTTTCACAGTCACCTGCTGCCCATGATGCGGGGCAAGCTGTGAATCTTATTGTTTTGTTTATAAACCCTTTACTATATCCTTTTACAATATATACATATACATAAATCCTTTTCTGTTATTTGGGTGTTGTACTTGAACTTTTTAGATTAATCAAATTAAGTAGGCCCTGACTTCCTCCCAAGTAGTCTATGTCACCTAGAAGATTTTAGCAGTTCTGGCTCTCAGTTGCGATTCCATTTTGCATTAATTAAATTCTTCTGTTTTGAGTGGAATTTTTATATCCTAATCCACCCTTATCTCCGGGTATAGCCTGTAAAATCTGCAAACAAATCGCATGTTTACAATTACAAATCAACTAAAACAACAGCTTTGCCATAGAAATAAAAACAAGATAAAATAATCAAAGTGCAAAACTGGTATAAAACCATATCCTTAAATGTTGTTATGAAAAAATATGTTATTTCCTGGGGCATCGCATAAATCAACAAATAAATTACAATTTGGATTATGTACAGAAACAAGTTTCGTATGATTTAATAGAAAATCAAAAATAAAAACAGCGGTGAGCTGAGGAGTGAGCAGCGAGCGAGAGTGGACATTGAGATAGAGAGATGAGCACAAGGGACACTACATGAAGTCATCCGACTCGTTGCCGGCATCATAGTTGGTGCGCATATTTTCAGTCTTCTGGAGCGACGCATAGCTACGCAGCTCCGCCTCCAATTCACGCTGCTTGGCCGCCGTCTTCTCCTGTTCGCGACGCTCCCGCTGCAGCTTCTTTTGGTCCTGGCGCTCGGCGGCATCGCGCGCCTCACGCTGCCCACGAAAATCAGGATGCTCCTCCTCCGTCTTGGTCTTGTTCAGGCGGTTGACGATCTCATTGACTCGCTTCTCCAGCTTGATTTTGCGCACCGCCTTCTCGTCGTGATAGGCCACCTGGCCGGGCTCCATGCCCGGTGTTTTTTTTAGATTCTCCCACATGGTATAGACCACCTCCAGGTTGTTCACCTTGTTGCCTTGGATGCTGTTGGCCTTGCACAGTTGGGCGGCATCCACCAACACGTCGCTGGGAATGTCATCGATGGTCTGGCCACGGTGCAGACGCAAATAGACGTGCGCCGACGACAGGTTGTTTACATGAAACCAGACGTCCTCCGGCCAGCCCCAGCGGATGAGCTCCTCGTTCTCGTACTTGTCGCGTCCCATGTATAGCATCGCCGCTGGCTGCACCACATTACTCTTGAAATAGAACACCATCTCGTGAATTAGGTCTGATTATTATTTACTATTTAATAGAAAACAAAATAATGTTCAATGAGAGCATTAGAGATGGAAAAGAATCGATTGTGGTTAACGATTCCGTAGATAGCTCTAAACTTAGTTGAATATCGATTAATTCACGGGCTAAGTCGACATATCGATGTATCGATTGGAAGTGCGACCATATCATTTTTCACAACTTAATGTATCCACCACGATCTATGTAGGCAAAAACTAGCCTTCAAGTCGTGTTGTTGATTTTGCTATTGTGTTGTTTATATTGTGTTGTTTTTGTTGTAGAAGAGATGTTGTTCTTGTTGTAGGCAAAAACAATGCTTCAATCTCGACATTTTCAGTACAAAAACGTACATTTCTGGATCTGAAGTACCAGGTGAACAGAAACTGCAGAAAGCAGATTAATTTTAGTGCAAGAGCTGCAAATTAGAGTTATACTTTTAGCCATATTGTAGCAGACCTTAAAGCTTAGAGCTTAAAGCTCAGTGATTTAATCTAGCTAGAAAATAGCTAGTTTGCCAACCTTATATTACGGCAACTTTTTGCAGTGTGACCAACTCATATATATACCGAAGAGTGACCGCTTTGACTTTCAGCTGCTTGCCTGCAACCATGTGCTGCAGCGACGATCGGCTGGCATGGAACCATGTGCAGCTTTGACATCCTACGTTTTAGGTTATGGTGAATGCACTCAGGAGCAGGCAAATGATCAGGATCAGCTGAATCAACACCAGGACGAGCTGGTCACAGCCCGGCCGGCGGCAGTGCATACCACTTCGCTCCTGCTGCCCATTGATGAGCCATCCAACACACCCTCACTGGCCTCTAGCGTGAACAGCGCCACGAAGAAGAGCCTCGATGAACCGCATTATGATGACTCGGGCATCTCGGAGCAGCAGCAGCAGCCACTCAAGCGGACCGTGGCCCCCGCCAGGAGCAGCGTTACGTTGGACCCAACTGCCTCAACATCACACCGGAGTTGCCGCAGAAGAAGCTCATCACCAAGACCATTTCCACTCCGCAGCTAAGCGCTGTGCAACAGCGACGATCAGCTGACATGGAGCCATGTGCAGCATTGACTGTAGACTGCAGGCATGCAACCATGTGCAGCCTTGACATCCTACGCTTGGAGCCCCCGCAGCAGAAGCTCATCACCAAGACAATTTCCATGCCGCAGCTAAGCAACAACAACTTCCAGGCCAAGCAGCAGCAGCAGCCGCTCAAGCTGACCGTAGTCATCCGTCAGGATCAGCGTTAAATTGGACATTGGACTGCTACCGGAGGCGCCGCAGCAGAAGCTCATTACCAGGACCATTTCCATGCCACAGCTGAGCGGCCTGCACAACCAAGGGCGTGATTCAGCGGTTTACAGCCTTCCATGGCAAGCTGGTGAGCTGGTCGAGGCTACGTGCCCGTCGAGCAGAAAATTCAGCAGGAGCTGCAGGACCTTAAGTCGCGCGAAACGGACCTAAAGCGCCTGCGCAAGATTAACAGACTGAAGGCTTCGCTGGACAAGCTGTGAGTACACGTCAAGGCATTCAATAATCCTCTTGTCATTTTACTTTCGTTTTCAGCCAGCTCAGCAAAGACGACGAGGCCGATTAGGACTCTGAGGTGAAGCACTGCTATGGACCCGGAAAACTGCGCATTATTCAGTCCACCCAGGAGTTGGATAGAAATGGGCAAGTGGTAGATAACCTACTTAAATAAGTTTGATTCTCATTGAATTTTCATTCTTTATCAACAGCAACGAACCGGAGAACATAAACAATCCAGCTGGCAATCGCAGCCTGAATGCAGCATTAATGGGATGCGTCCAGCAATGTCGCTTGCTCAGATGTGTGATCTGACGGCAGAGGAGGCCGCGAGGTCTCACTGCCCAGTGGGAAAGCCTGATCAAGAAGAATGCCGAGAACGGGACGGTTATTGACGCGGCCATCATTACTTTTAAAAAGGTGGGACTATATCCATTATCACAAGCTTTTTGCAGAGTGACCAACCCAGGTTTCGCTACTTTTATATCGAAGTGTGACCGCTTTGACTTTCAGCTGCTTGCCTGCAACCATGTGCTGCAACGACGATCACTAATGACATGCAACCATGTGAAGCTTTGACTATCGACTGCTGGAATGGAACCATGTGCAGCTTTGACATCCTACGTTTTAGGTTATGGTGAATGCGTTCAGGAGCAGCCAAATGATCAGGATGAGCTGGATCAAGACCAGGGCGTGCTGGTCACAGCCCGGCCGGCGGCAGTGCAAACCACTTCGCTCCTGCTGCCCATTGATGAGCCATCCAACACACCCTCGCTGGCCTCTAGCGTGAACAGCGCCAAGGAGGAGAGCCTCGATGGCCAGCATTCGGATGACTCTGGCATCTCGGACTCCTCGCAGAGCAACAACAACCTCCAGGCCAGCAGCAGCAGCAGCCGCTCAAGTTGATCGTGGTCACCCACCAGGACCTAACTGCCTCAATATGACACCATTTTTACTTCTCAGCTAAGCGGCCTGCGCCAGAAGCGTCAGTTTGCCTTCGGTGGTGCATCTACCAAGGGCGTAATTGAGCGGTTTATTGCCTTCCATGGCAATCTGGTGGCACCCAATAATCCCCTGCCGCCGCCTCGCCATTGGGCAACATCATCAACATCAACATCATCAGCTCCGGAATGTTAAATCAGAGCAGCAACAGCAACACCCTCAAGCTGAACACACGCACGGCGCTGGCCTTCCTGGAGAACGCCAACTCGCCAACGGGCATTACCACGGTCACCCTATCACCGACAGTAATCGAGCGGGACTCGGAGTTCTGTTGGGTCTGCCTCGGCCTCTGGAAGCCGCACGCTCCTCCTGGTACAACTGTAACCGGTACGATGAGGATGAGGCCAATACAGCTCGTGATGCCCAGGAGAAGTAGCACTCATCCTTGGCCAGGTGAGTTTTTATACTATTCTAATTTTTGTCGAAAGCTTGTAATACTGTGAAGGAGTCATTTTCGACCCTATAAATATTATATGTATATTCTAGATCACCATCATCAGCCGAGTCGGTCTAGCTAGGGTCAGGGTCAGTTGTAAAACTATCGAAAGAGTAAGATCTTATAATTAATTTAGGCTTTTAACTTTGAGTATACGTTTGTAGATATCCTCAATACAAATTACTGAATCACTTTAAATTAAAAATAAGTAATGGGATCCATGGAAATAAGGGAATTAATTGAAAAATAAATGCATAGCTAGCAGAGCTGAATCTAGACCAAGGCCTGATCCCTCCTATAGCATCGTTATATGTATATGATATAATTATCATTATTAAGACTTACCCCAGTGGAGGACACGTCATTGTTTACTTCCTTCCATATAATAATATAATTGTCATGATTAAGACTTACCTGAGTGTAGTTTTCTTCCTTCCAGTGTTGACTTCGAATCTTGTTGACTTCAATTAGGGTAGTCATAATATCGAAGATCACTTCCTGGTTATCCAGATGTATTCCATTGGCCACGTCATTCCTTTAATCACTATCACTATCGATGTAAACACTAGGTACCCCTAGGACAGACTGAGGTCGCGGCGAACGAAGTGCCTCTATTTATAGTTCCCGAGTCAAGAGAACAGAGAAAGTGAGAGAGTAAGAGATAGGCGGAGAAACATACAGAGAAAGAGTTCGCTCTGAAGATGCACATTGGGAGTTGGACCTACCGGATAAAAAGAGGCAGAGAGAGTAAGAGAGAGGGAGAAAGGGAGAGCTGTTGATGCTGATCAAGAATATGTTTACTTAATAGGGGCGTTACTGCGTTCCAAACTTTTGAGTAAAATTATAATACCATGCAAGGGAATAAAAATGATCAAATAAAATTTGAATTTTAAGATTCTTGCAGAGGAAAATATAATTTTAATCAGTGAAGGAGTCATTTTCGGGTCTATAGGGTCGTACCTCCACTGATTAAAAGTATAATACTCTCTGCAATATTATTGAACTATATATTTTTACATGCATTTTATTTGTTGACAAATCAAAGTTTAAAAATCTCGTAATTCAGCTAAACAAAAAAGCATTAATTTTAGTTAGCTTTAGTTCATTCTTCAACTTTGGTAACAGCTGGTGTTTATTTATTAATTTGATTATATATTATTTTCAGAACTTCTTGATTCTGCATGCAGCAGAAGGAGGATATTGAAACGGGTCTGACACGCATGCGCGAACGTTTGGAGGAGTCCGCTCAGCATTCGCAGACGGTGCAGCGCGTGCAGACTACCAAAATGAAGGCGGAGGATTTGCAACAATACGCCAGCAATGGGTGAGTACAGAGTTAATTCAAGTTAAGGAACGTCACATAAATTAATTTCTATCCTTTGTAGCTAGGGCACCGTCTGAAGCGAGCTTGACGAAAGCAAGCTGTAAAACATGGAGTTGGAGTCGATAGACAAATTCTTTTCGGCTTAACAAAAGAATGCGGTATCGGTTAGTGTCTAGAAAAGATGCCAATGAAAGATCTTCCCTTATTTAATGTTCTCCCCTCTTTTCACAGGCTATTGATGGCTCCTATGAGGATCTGCGAGCAACTGGCGGCAAGCCAGCCAAGCAAGCAAGGTGCTCTCAGAGATCGATGGACGCCGGGCCCAGAACTGCACCATCCTGCTCAGCAAGCTGAAGATGAGCTATATGAAGATATCAAAGTAGGAGTTGCTTTGGCCACCTTCTGGTTCCAAATACTAATGTCTTCTCTTCTAGGGCCATTCTCCGATGGACAGCAACAAGAAGCTGATACTCGACATGGTCTAGCAGCTGCTAAAGTTCCCGCTCTCGGCGGAGGAGCGTGACTGTTGGATGAGCATAGCGAGGATATTGAGTCACTTGCCCGCACCGATCGCTTCCTTTACGAAATATCAAAGTGGGTTTGAAGGGCATCTAGGAGAGATGGCAGTCACTAAACTTTTTGTTCTTTTGTCCTGGCAGGATTCCCCACTACGAGCAAAGGCTGAAGAGTTCACTACTGGAACTGCTTTATGCCGACATCAGCACTTCAGGGAGCAATCAGAATGGAAGTCAGCTGCAACAACAGCACCAACAGCAACACCCTCAAGCTGAACACACGCACGACGTTGGCCTTCCTGGAGAACGGCATTACCACGGCATCTCCAACGGGCATTACCACGGTCACCCTATCACCGGCAGCCATCGAGCGGGACGCGGAGGGCAGGCCTTTGCGTCGAGGCTGTGCCCGTCGAGCAGAAGATCCAGCAGGAGCTGCAGGACCTCAAGTTGCGCGAGACGGAGCTGAAGCGCCTGCACAAGAATAACAGGAACAACATACTGAAGGCTTCGCTGGACAAGCTGTGAGTACACGTCAAGGCATTCAAGAATCCTCTTGTCATTTTGCGTTTTTTCGTTTTTAGCCAGCTCAGAACAGACGACGAGGCCAATGCGGACGACGATGACGATTAGGACTCTGTGGTGGAGCACTGCTATGGACCCGGAAAACTGCGCAATGTTCAGTCCACCCAGGAGTTGGATAGAAATGGGCAAGTGTTAGATAACCTACTTAAATAAGTTTGATTCTCATTGAATTTTCATTCTTTATCAATAGCAAACAACCGGTGAACATACACAATTCGGCTGGCAATCGCAGCCTAAATGCAAATGCAGCATTAATGGGATGCGTCCGGCAATGTCGCTGGCTCAGATGTGTGATCTGACGGCAGAGGAGGCCGCGAGGTCTCACTGCCCAGTGGGAAAGCCTGATCAAGAAGAATGCCGAGAACGGGACGGTTATTGACGCGGCCATCATTACTTTTAAAAAAGGTGGGACCATATCCATTATCACTTTTATATCGAAGTGTGACCGCTTTGACTTTCAGCTGCTTGCCTGCAACCATGTGCTGCAGCGACGATCACTAATGACATGCAACCATGTAAAGCTTTGACTATCGACTGCTGGCATGGAACCATGTGCAGCTTTGACATCCTACGTTTTAGGTTATGGTGAATGCGTTCAGGAGCAGCCAAATGATCAGGATGAGCTGGATCAAGACCAGGGCGTGCTGGTCACAGCCCGGCCGGCGGCAGTGCAAACCACTTCGCTCCTGCTGCCCATTGATGAGCCATCCAACACACCCTCGCTGGCCTCTAGCGTGAACAGCGCCAAGGAGGAGAGCCTCGATGGCCAGCATTCGGATGACTCTGGCATCTCGGACTCCTCGCAGAGCAACAACAACCTCCAGGCCAGCAGCAGCAGCAGCCGCTCAAGCTGATCGTGGTCACCCACCAGGAGCAGCGTTACATTGGACCTAACTGCCTCAACATGACACCATTTTTACTTCTCAGCTAAGCGGCCTGCGCCAGAAGCGTCAGTTTGCCTTCGGTGGTGCATCTACCAAGGGCGTAATTGAGCGGTTTATTGCCTTCCATGGCAATCTGGTGGCACCCAATAATCCCCTGCCGCCGCCTCGCCATTGGGCAACATCATCAACATCAACATCATCAGCTCCGGAATGTTAAATCAGAGCAGCAACAGCAACACCCTCAAGCTGAACACACGCACGGCGCTGGCCTTCCTGGAGAACGCCAACTCGCCAACGGGCATTACCACGGTCACCCTATCACCGACAGTAATCGAGCGGGACTCGGAGTTCTGTTGGGTCTGCCTCGGCCTCTGGAAGCCGCACGCTCCTCCTGGTACAACTGTAACCGGTACGATGAGGATGAGGCCAATACAGCTCGTGATGCCCAGGAGAAGTAGCACTCATCCTTGGCCAGGTGAGTTTTTATACTATTCTAATTTTTGTCGAAAGCTTGTAATACTGTGAAGGAGTCATTTTCGACCCTATAAATATTATATGTATATTCTAGATCACCATCATCAGCCGAGTCGGTCTAGCTAGGGTCAGGGTCAGTTGTAAAACTATCGAAAGAGTAAGATCTTATAATTAATTTAGGCTTTTAACTTTGAGTATACGTTTGTAGATATCCTCAATACAAATTACTGAATCACTTTAAATTAAAATAAGTAATGGGATCCATGGAAATAAGGGAATTAATTGAAAAATAAATGCATAGCTAGCAGAGCTGAATCTAGACCAAGGCCTGATCCCTCCTATAGCATCGTTATATGTATATGATATAATTATCATTATTAAGACTTACCCCAGTGGAGGACACGTCATTGTTTACTTCCTTCCATATAATAATATAATTGTCATGATTAAGACTTACCTGAGTGTAGTTTTCTTCCTTCCAGTGTTGACTTCGAATCTTGTTGACTTCAATTAGGGTAGTCATAATATCGAACATCACTTCCTGGTTATCCAGATGTATTCCATTGGCCACGTCATTCCTTTAATCACTATCACTATCGATGTAAACACTAGGTACCCCTAGGACAGACTGAGGTCGCGGCGAACGAAGTGCCTCTATTTATAGTTCCCGAGTCAAGAGAACAGAGAAAGTGAGAGAGTAAGAGATAGGCGGAGAAACATACAGAGAAAGAGTTCGCTCTGAAGATGCACATTGGGAGTTGGACCTACCGGATAAAAAGAGGCAGAGAGAGTAAGAGAGAGGGAGAAAGGGAGAGCTGTTGATGCTGATCAAGAATATGTTTACTTAATAGGGGCGTTACTGCGTTCCAAACTTTTGAGTAAAATTATAATACCATGCAAGGGAATAAAAATGATCAAATAAAATTTGAATTTTAAGATTCTTGCAGAGGAAAATATAATTTTAATCAGTGAAGGAGTCATTTTCGGGTCTATAGGGTCGTACCTCCACTGATTAAAAGTATAATACTCTCTGCAATATTATTGAACTATATATTTTTACATGCATTTTATTTGTTGACAAATCAAAGTTTAAAAATCTCGTAATTCAGCTAAACAAAAAAGCATTAATTTTAGTTAGCTTTAGTTCATTCTTCAACTTTGGTAACAGCTGGTGTTTATTTATTAATTTGATTATATATTATTTTCAGAACTTCTTGATTCTGCATGCAGCAGAAGGAGGATATTGAAACGGGTCTGACACGCATGCGCGAACGTTTGGAGGAGTCCGCTCAGCATTCGCAGACGGTGCAGCGCGTGCAGACTACCAAAATGAAGGCGGAGGATTTGCAACAATACGCCAGCAATGGGTGAGTACAGAGTTAATTCAAGTTAAGGAACGTCACATAAATTAATTTCTATCCTTTGTAGCTAGGGCACCGTCTGAAGCGAGCTTGACGAAAGCAAGCTGTAAAACATGGAGTTGGAGTCGATAGACAAATTCTTTTCGGCTTAACAAAAGAATGCGGTATCGGTTAGTGTCTAGAAAAGATGCCAATGAAAGATCTTCCCTTATTTAATGTTCTCCCCTCTTTTCACAGGCTATTGATGGCTCCTATGAGGATCTGCGAGCAACTGGCGGCAAGCCAGCCAAGCAAGCAAGGTGCTCTCAGAGATCGATGGATGCCGGGCCCAGAACTGCACCATCCTGCTCAGCAAGCTGAAGATGAGCTATATGAAGATATCAAAGTAGGAGTTGCTTTGGCCACCTTCTGGTTCCAAATACTAATGTCTTCTCTTCTAGGGCCATTCTCCCGATGGACAGCAACAAGAAGCTGATACTCGACATGGTCTAGCAGCTGCTAAAGTTCCCGCTCTCGGCGGAGGAGCGTGACTGTTGGATGAGCATAGCGAGGATATTGAGTCACTTGCCCGCACCGATCGCTTCCTTTACGAAATATCAAAGTGGGTTTGAAGGGCATCTAGGAGAGATGGCAGTCACTAAACTTTTTGTTCTTTTGTCCTGGCAGGATTCCCCACTACGAGCAAAGGCTGAAGAGTTCACTACTGGAACTGCTTTATGCCGACATCAGCACTTCAGGGAGCAATCAGAATGGAAGTCAGCTGCAACAACAGCACCAACAGCAACACCCTCAAGCTGAACACACGCACGACGTTGGCCTTCCTGGAGAACGGCATTACCACGGCATCTCCAACGGGCATTACCACGGTCACCCTATCACCGGCAGCCATCGAGCGGGACGCGGAGGGCAGACCTTTGCGTCGAGGCTGTGCCCGTCGAGCAGAAGATCCAGCAGGAGCTGCAGGACCTCAAGTTGCGCGAGACGGAGCTGAAGCGCCTGCACAAGAATAACAGGAACAACATACTGAAGGCTTCGCTGGACAAGCTGTGAGTACACGTCAAGGCATTCAAGAATCCTCTTGTCATTTTGCGTTTTTTCGTTTTTAGCCAGCTCAGAACAGACGACGAGGCCAATGCGGACGACGATGACGATTAGGACTCTGTGGTGGAGCACTGCTATGGACCCGGAAAACTGCGCAATGTTCAGTCCACCCAGGAGTTGGATAGAAATGGGCAAGTGTTAGATAACCTACTTAAATAAGTTTGATTCTCATTGAATTTTCATTCTTTATCAATAGCAAACAACCGGTGAACATACACAATTCGGCTGGCAATCGCAGCCTAAATGCAAATGCAGCATTAATGGGATGCGTCCGGCAATGTCGCTGGCTCAGATGTGTGATCTGACGGCAGAGGAGGCCGCGAGGTCTCACTGCCCAGTGGGAAAGCCTGATCAAGAAGAATGCCGAGAACGGGACGGTTATTGACGCGGCCATCATTACTTTTAAAAAAGGTGGGACCATATCCATTATCACTTTTATATCGAAGTGTGACCGCTTTGACTTTCAGCTGCTTGCCTGCAACCATGTGCTGCAGCGACGATCACTAATGACATGCAACCATGTAAAGCTTTGACTATCGACTGCTGGCATGGAACCATGTGCAGCTTTGACATCCTACGTTTTAGGTTATGGTGAATGCGTTCAGGAGCAGCCAAATGATCAGGATGAGCTGGATCAAGACCAGGGCGTGCTGGTCACAGCCCGGCCGGCGGCAGTGCAAACCACTTCGCTCCTGCTGCCCATTGATGAGCCATCCAACACACCCTCGCTGGCCTCTAGCGTGAACAGCGCCAAGGAGGAGAGCCTCGATGGCCAGCATTCAGATGACTCTGGCATCTCGGACTCCTCGCAGAGCAACAACAACCTCCAGGCCAAGCACCAGCAGCAGCAGCAGCCGCTCAAGCTGATCGTGGTCACCCACCAGGAGCAGCGTTACATTGGACCTAACTGCCTCAACATGACACCATTTTTACTTCTCAGCTAAGCGGCCTGCGCCAGAAGCGTCAGTTTGCCTTCGGTGGTGCATCTACCAAGGGCGTAATTGAGCGGTTTATTGCCTTCCATGGCAATCTGGTGGCACCCAATAATCCCCTGCCGCCGCCTCGCCATTGGGCAACATCATCAACATCAACATCATCAGCTCCGGAATGTTAAATCAGAGCAGCAACAGCAACACCCTCAAGCTGAACACACGCACGGCGCTGGCCTTCCTGGAGAACGCCAACTCGCCAACGGGCATTACCACGGTCACCCTATCACCGACAGTAATCGAGCGGGACTCGGAGTTCTGTTGGGTCTGCCTCGGCCTCTGGAAGCCGCACGCTCCTCCTGGTACAACTGTAACCGGTACGATGAGGATGAGGCCAATACAGCTCGTGATGCCCAGGAGAAGTAGCACTCATCCTTGGCCAGGTGAGTTTTTATACTATTCTAATTTTTGTCGAAAGCTTGTAATACTGTGAAGGAGTCATTTTCGACCCTATAAATATTATATGTATATTCTAGATCACCATCATCAGCCGAGTCGGTCTAGCTAGGGTCAGGGTCAGTTGTAAAACTATCGAAAGAGTAAGATCTTATAATTAATTTAGGCTTTTAACTTTGAGTATACGTTTGTAGATATCCTCAATACAAATTACTGAATCACTTTAAATTAAAAATAAGTAATGGGATCCATGGAAATAAGGGAATTAATTGAAAAATAAATGCATAGCTAGCAGAGCTGAATCTAGACCAAGGCCTGATCCCTCCTATAGCATCGTTATATGTATATGATATAATTATCATTATTAAGACTTACCCCAGTGGAGGACACGTCATTGTTTACTTCCTTCCATATAATAATATAATTGTCATGATTAAGACTTACCTGAGTGTAGTTTTCTTCCTTCCAGTGTTGACTTCGAATCTTGTTGACTTCAATTAGGGTAGTCATAATATCGAAGATCACTTCCTGGTTATCCAGATGTATTCCATTGGCCACGTCATTCCTTTAATCACTATCACTATCGATGTAAACACTAGGTACCCCTAGGACAGACTGAGGTCGCGGCGAACGAAGTGCCTCTATTTATAGTTCCCGAGTCAAGAGAACAGAGAAAGTGAGAGAGTAAGAGATAGGCGGAGAAACATACAGAGAAAGAGTTCGCTCTGAAGATGCACATTGGGAGTTGGACCTACCGGATAAAAAGAGGCAGAGAGAGTAAGAGAGAGGGAGAAAGGGAGAGCTGTTGATGCTGATCAAGAATATGTTTACTTAATAGGGGCGTTACTGCGTTCCAAACTTTTGAGTAAAATTATAATACCATGCAAGGGAATAAAAATGATCAAATAAAATTTGAATTTTAAGATTCTTGCAGAGGAAAATATAATTTTAATCAGTGAAGGAGTCATTTTCGGGTCTATAGGGTCGTACCTCCACTGATTAAAAGTATAATACTCTCTGCAATATTATTGAACTATATATTTTTACATGCATTTTATTTGTTGACAAATCAAAGTTTAAAAATCTCGTAATTCAGCTAAACAAAAAAGCATTAATTTTAGTTAGCTTTAGTTCATTCTTCAACTTTGGTAACAGCTGGTGTTTATTTATTAATTTGATTATATATTATTTTCAGAACTTCTTGATTCTGCATGCAGCAGAAGGAGGATATTGAAACGGGTCTGACACGCATGCGCGAACGTTTGGAGGAGTCCGCTCAGCATTCGCAGACGGTGCAGCGCGTGCAGACTACCAAATGAAGGCGGAGGATTTGCAACAATACGCCAGCAATGGGTGAGTACAGAGTTAATTCAAGTTAAGGAACGTCACATAAATTAATTTCTATCCTTTGTAGCTAGGGCACCGTCTGAAGCGAGCTTGACGAAAGCAAGCTGTAAAACATGGAGTTGGAGTCGATAGACAAATTCTTTTCGGCTTAACAAAAGAATGCGGTATCGGTTAGTGTCTAGAAAAGATGCCAATGAAAGATCTTCCCTTATTTAATGTTCTCCCCTCTTTTCACAGGCTATTGATGGCTCCTATGAGGATCTGCGAGCAACTGGCGGCAAGCCAGCCAAGCAAGCAAGGTGCTCTCAGAGATCGATGGACGCCGGGCCCAGAACTGCACCATCCTGCTCAGCAAGCTGAAGATGAGCTATATGAAGATATCAAAGTAGGAGTTGCTTTGGCCACCTTCTGGTTCCAAATACTAATGTCTTCTCTTCTAGGGCCATTCTCCCGATGGACAGCAACAAGAAGCTGATACTCGACATGGTCTAGCAGCTGCTAAAGTTCCCGCTCTCGGCGGAGGAGCGTGACTGTTGGATGAGCATAGCGAGGATATTGAGTCACTTGCCCGCACCGATCGCTTCCTTTACGAAATATCAAAGTGGGTTTGAAGGGCATCTAGGAGAGATGGCAGTCACTAAACTTTTTGTTCTTTTGTCCTGGCAGGATTCCCCACTACGAGCAAAGGCTGAAGAGTTCACTACTGGAACTGCTTTATGCCGACATCAGCACTTCAGGGAGCAATCAGAATGGAAGTCAGCTGCAACAACAGCACCAACAGCAACACCCTCAAGCTGAACACACGCACGACGTTGGCCTTCCTGGAGAACGGCATTACCACGGCATCTCCAACGGGCATTACCACGGTCACCCTATCACCGGCAGCCATCGAGCGGGACGCGGAGGGCAGGCCTTTGCGTCGAGGCTGTGCCCGTCGAGCAGAAGATCCAGCAGGAGCTGCAGGACCTCAAGTTGCGCGAGACGGAGCTGAAGCGCCTGCACAAGAATAACAGGAACAACATACTGAAGGCTTCGCTGGACAAGCTGTGAGTACACGTCAAGGCATTCAAGAATCCTCTTGTCATTTTGCGTTTTTTCGTTTTTAGCCAGCTCAGAACAGACGACGAGGCCAATGCGGACGACGATGACGATTAGGACTCTGTGGTGGAGCACTGCTATGGACCCGGAAAACTGCGCAATGTTCAGTCCACCCAGGAGTTGGATAGAAATGGGCAAGTGTTAGATAACCTACTTAAATAAGTTTGATTCTCATTGAATTTTCATTCTTTATCAATAGCAAACAACCGGTGAACATACACAATTCGGCTGGCAATCGCAGCCTAAATGCAAATGCAGCATTAATGGGATGCGTCCGGCAATGTCGCTGGCTCAGATGTGTGATCTGACGGCAGAGGAGGCCGCGAGGTCTCACTGCCCAGTGGGAAAGCCTGATCAAGAAGAATGCCGAGAACGGGACGGTTATTGACGCGGCCATCATTACTTTTAAAAAAGGTGGGACCATATCCATTATCACTTTTATATCGAAGTGTGACCGCTTTGACTTTCAGCTGCTTGCCTGCAACCATGTGCTGCAGCGACGATCACTAATGACATGCAACCATGTAAAGCTTTGACTATCGACTGCTGGCATGGAACCATGTGCAGCTTTGACATCCTACGTTTTAGGTTATGGTGAATGCGTTCAGGAGCAGCCAAATGATCAGGATGAGCTGGATCAAGACCAGGGCGTGCTGGTCACAGCCCGGCCGGCGGCAGTGCAAACCACTTCGCTCCTGCTGCCCATTGATGAGCCATCCAACACACCCTCGCTGGCCTCTAGCGTGAACAGCGCCAAGGAGGAGAGCCTCGATGGCCAGCATTCAGATGACTCTGGCATCTCGGACTCCTCGCAGAGCAACAACAACCTCCAGGCCAAGCACCAGCAGCAGCAGCAGCCGCTCAAGCTGATCGTGGTCACCCACCAGGAGCAGCGTTACATTGGACCTAACTGCCTCAACATGACACCATTTTTACTTCTCAGCTAAGCGGCCTGCGCCAGAAGCGTCAGTTTGCCTTCGGTGGTGCATCTACCAAGGGCGTAATTGAGCGGTTTATTGCCTTCCATGGCAATCTGGTGGCACCCAATAATCCCCTGCCGCCGCCTCGCCATTGGGCAACATCATCAACATCAACATCATCAGCTCCGGAATGTTAAATCAGAGCAGCAACAGCAACACCCTCAAGCTGAACACACGCACGGCGCTGGCCTTCCTGGAGAACGCCAACTCGCCAACGGGCATTACCACGGTCACCCTATCACCGACAGTAATCGAGCGGGACTCGGAGTTCTGTTGGGTCTGCCTCGGCCTCTGGAAGCCGCACGCTCCTCCTGGTACAACTGTAACCGGTACGATGAGGATGAGGCCAATACAGCTCGTGATGCCCAGGAGAAGTAGCACTCATCCTTGGCCAGGTGAGTTTTTATACTATTCTAATTTTTGTCGAAAGCTTGTAATACTGTGAAGGAGTCATTTTCGACCCTATAAATATTATATGTATATTCTAGATCACCATCATCAGCCGAGTCGGTCTAGCTAGGGTCAGGGTCAGTTGTAAAACTATCGAAAGAGTAAGATCTTATAATTAATTTAGGCTTTTAACTTTGAGTATACGTTTGTAGATATCCTCAATACAAATTACTGAATCACTTTAAATTAAAAATAAGTAATGGGATCCATGGAAATAAGGGAATTAATTGAAAAATAAATGCATAGCTAGCAGAGCTGAATCTAGACCAAGGCCTGATCCCTCCTATAGCATCGTTATATGTATATGATATAATTATCATTATTAAGACTTACCCCAGTGGAGGACACGTCATTGTTTACTTCCTTCCATATAATAATATAATTGTCATGATTAAGACTTACCTGAGTGTAGTTTTCTTCCTTCCAGTGTTGACTTCGAATCTTGTTGACTTCAATTAGGGTAGTCATAATATCGAAGATCACTTCCTGGTTATCCAGATGTATTCCATTGGCCACGTCATTCCTTTAATCACTATCACTATCGATGTAAACACTAGGTACCCCTAGGACAGACTGAGGTCGCGGCGAACGAAGTGCCTCTATTTATAGTTCCCGAGTCAAGAGAACAGAGAAAGTGAGAGAGTAAGAGATAGGCGGAGAAACATACAGAGAAAGAGTTCGCTCTGAAGATGCACATTGGGAGTTGGACCTACCGGATAAAAAGAGGCAGAGAGAGTAAGAGAGAGGGAGAAAGGGAGAGCTGTTGATGCTGATCAAGAATATGTTTACTTAATAGGGGCGTTACTGCGTTCCAAACTTTTGAGTAAAATTATAATACCATGCAAGGGAATAAAAATGATCAAATAAAATTTGAATTTTAAGATTCTTGCAGAGGAAAATATAATTTTAATCAGTGAAGGAGTCATTTTCGGGTCTATAGGGTCGTACCTCCACTGATTAAAAGTATAATACTCTCTGCAATATTATTGAACTATATATTTTTACATGCATTTTATTTGTTGACAAATCAAAGTTTAAAAATCTCGTAATTCAGCTAAACAAAAAAGCATTAATTTTAGTTAGCTTTAGTTCATTCTTCAACTTTGGTAACAGCTGGTGTTTATTTATTAATTTGATTATATATTATTTTCAGAACTTCTTGATTCTGCATGCAGCAGAAGGAGGATATTGAAACGGGTCTGACACGCATGCGCGAACGTTTGGAGGAGTCCGCTCAGCATTCGCAGACGGTGCAGCGCGTGCAGACTACCAAAATGAAGGCGGAGGATTTGCAACAATACGCCAGCAATGGGTGAGTACAGAGTTAATTCAAGTTAAGGAACGTCACATAAATTAATTTCTATCCTTTGTAGCTAGGGCACCGTCTGAAGCGAGCTTGACG